CCACCATGTAGCCAGGTAGCAGGAAGCCTCAGAACCAATCTTAAAACTCTTTAAAATCTGTTGAATAAAGATCTTCCTTTTCCTAAAGTATCACCTGCAATAGATTGTAACTGCTACCAGTTATGATCTTCCGAGGATTTTTTTTCTTTTTTGTCTCAAAATTGCATAATGAAAGTAATGGCTGTGATTCATTGAAACACCCTGGGCACTATATGGATGATTTCGCTCATTCTGGAATGATATGTCTTTGTCCTTTTAAAGTCTTAATACAAAGATCTCTATAGCCTATTCTTCATGCCCAACTTTCACATTCCAGTCACTACTTTTCCCCTGTTATTATTAATGCATCTTTATTATGTATTCATGTGATTTTTTACTGCAAAACTTGGTAAAACTCCTCACTTTTCTCATCTCTAGCTTTAGTTATGGGTGCATATATCTGAATAACAGTCATATTAACAGGTCCTCCTTTTATGTGTATGGATAGTATCCTATTATTCATAGCATTGTATTTCAATACAGATCTTGAAATGGTCTTTTTTACTATGATTGCAACACCATTCTCCCTCAATTTTCCAGTCTCATTATTATAGGTCATATAATTATCTGATTCAAAGTGGCCAATGCCAATCCATCTCAGCTCACTAATACCTCCCTTTCAGGGGCCAGTCCAACCTGACAGTGCATAACAACATAATATTCCATTTGTAACAGCCTTTGGACTTAGGAAGAAATTGCTCTGGTTGCAAGCTCTCCCATTCTTCTTTTCCTCTTGGACAGTGTGCTGAATTAAAATTATTTTCTTTACTATTTAACTATTGCAATATTTCTTCCTCTAAGACGGTCCAAATTTTCAGTAAAGTGTTTTATTTCTCTGTACAGAGAGCTGAAAGCAACATGTAGAAAATCCTCCAACTCATCTGTCCTTACTTTTTCTCCAGAGGCAATCTCACTTCTCTCTCTTTTCAGTCACCCTTCCATCTCTACATAATGCACTATGCTGTGAATTCTTGATATATCAATGTTACATCTCAGACACTCACTTCCTGTCAATACAGATAAGAATCTAAGTTAAACCACTTCAAAACTGATGTATCACTATAATTAGATTTCCATTGCAAAGGGAGGTAGTTGACAGTATAATTCCATTTTGTCTTTCTTGTAACTATGTTCATCCTTTGAACTTATCTTAATAATTAGGATAAGAATGTTTGGGAACTTGCAGAATGCGTTTGAGCTTCCCACCAGATAACCTTCAGAAAGACATCTGGCTGAACTGACAGGCAGGAAGAGCTAAAGACCTAAAATTTCCAAACTGTTTCAATGATAACCAGCACCAGGCAAGACATTCAACAAAAATTTCATTATGAGCCATCTGCAAAGCCAACTGATTGTCTTTGTTTATCTTTCACATCAATTAAACATTTGGTAGGAAAGTTTGGAAAATGCACTTGACTTGGTTGCTGGTTTTCCCTAATGCTCAAGTCTCATAAAAAAAGTCCTATCTGTTCGTCTCTTCCCAAAATTTTACATCTTTATTTGGAATTCAGGGCTCTGGTGCGTTAGAGTGGGAGCTAACAATTACTTGCATTTTTAACATTAAACAAGCATCAGACAAGCAAAAAACCTCAATGCCATCAGTATTGACTCAGAGCAGATTTTCTAAGGCTGTACATCACATGGGAGGAGACTATTCTACTCACTCAAAGCTGCTAGAGGAGCATCTAACACATGTATATAGCAGAACTAAGTAAGAAGGATTGTTCAGTCAAGATTCTACAGCATGTGATGCTGAAAGACCATATGTACTATGGACTGTCATTATTACTAGTGTAAGAGAAGCCCCCATTCTAAATATTCTGTCCAACTCACTGCTCTTGTGTAGAGTCTCACTCACAACACCCCCATCGCATTTCTCAGGCTGTAAATTTTAATGGGAGGAGACTGGCCATCTTTGCCCAGAGAAGTAGCTGGTGTATTTGAACTGATGGGCATGGGTAGCATTTTAGTTAGCATGACAACGTCTACAGAGTTGCTGTTGTTGTTAGGTGCCATTGAGTTGAGTTTGACCCATATTGTTTCCTATGAATAACAGATCTGAATCCTGTCTTATCCTGTGCCATCCTCATACTTTCTGACACACTATAGGGCCCACTGCTTCAGTCACTGTGTCAATCCATGTGGTTGAAGGTCTTCCTCTCATTGGAAAACCCTTGATCTTTCTAAGCATGATGTCCCTTGTCAAAGAACAGCCTCTCCTAACAACAAGCCCATACTGTGTGAGATGAAGCTTTATCATCTTTGCCTCCAAGGAGCACTCTGGCTACACATTCTCTAAGCCATATCAATTCTTCTTCTGTAATCCTTAGTCATTGTCCAGCTTTCAGATATATAGCAAGTCATTAGAGAGACCATGGCCTGAATCAGATGCATCTTAGTCCTCAAAGTGACATCATGCTCCTTAATAATTTGGAGAGGTTCCTGACAGCAGCCTTTCCCAGTGCAATACATCTCCTGATTTCCCTGACTGCTGGTACCAAGGGCGTTGACTATGGACCCAAGTAATCATTTACAAGTTCAATCTTTTCTCCATTTATCATGATGTTACATATCAGTCAAGTGGTAAGAATTTTTGTTTTCTTACTCTGACATATAAGGGGCATGCCACAAGATCTCCCTGGGAAGATCTTATTGGGGTTGAGGACCACTGAAAGGAAGTCAGAAGTCCTTTCATGCAGGAGGGGAAAAGGGAGACTCAATCTCTCATCACATATCAAATTATGTAATTCCCACAACTAATGTTCTGCCCCACAACCTCAACAACCCTGAGGTTTATGTCTAGCTAGATCATCTGAAATTCCAAAATGAAAATGCAGATATAACACATTTGCTTAAAGAAAAACCCCTTCAACTTCTATGTAGTCATTGTGGTATGGTTTCATCACAAGACGTTCTCAAGTGTAAACCATAAAAAAAGTTTAGAAAGTTCCTAAGATTTAAAGATAAACCTTGTTAAGCCTACTTTTTTTTTAAACTGAACAATATTCATTTTTTATCTTTAAATAGGTGATTGTTAAATAGATGCTTAAGCCTACTTTTGATACACCTACTTTAGTATTTGATTTAGAAACATGTGAGAAACCCAAAGTGAAAGTAAACCTACAAAATTTCACACAAAGTTGTTATAAATTAAACTTTTATAGCTTCAGACATCGTTTTGCTTCGTTTAAACAAATGCTCTCATCAATTTGAGTACTTTAAAAGGATGTTATGAAAGTTAATGGAAAAGTAACAGCATGCTTCACTTTAGGAAAATAGTAAAAGAATGAACAAATCAAACCCGCAGTAGCTCTAAAAAGAAAAACAACATTTTAAAAAAAGGTAAATATACTTTTATATTGTATAAGCTGGGTGACAAGAAGAGTTCTCTTTGCTTAAGTTCTTCCGAATTTAGAATTATCAGCACACAATTCCCCACCCCCCATGACTACACTTAGCAAAATGTAAGAAAACATTTAAAAATTATAGTTGAAAATGTATATATTTTTACGTTTCTTATACGGAGCTATCTATGGTGGCCTAATGGGTAAGTAGTTGCACTGCCAACCCAAAGGGAAGCAGTTCAAATCCATCAACTAGAAAGATGGGCACTCTTCTCCCTTGTGATTTACAGCTTCTGAAAACACGCTGGAGGGTCAAAGATGAGTCGGTGCCCACTAGACAGCACCCAACAACACATATTTTAACTGCATAAATACTTGGGTTTAATGGATAATACAATTCTCTAGAACAGTATATGCAACCAATTCCATTCTTCAGTGCTTCTCCTGCAACTGCATCAAAATCACAGGGAAGGACTTAAAAACCCAAGTTTCTGCTCTTTCTCCTCCACTACAATGGCTCATGGCTGAAGTAGCTCTGGTGACCTACTGGTAAAAAGCTGCGCTGCAATTCCAGAGGCGAACTGTTCTACTCTACCAGTTGCTCTGAGGGATGGGCAATCTTCTCCCATGCAATTTAATGGAGGGTCAGCTATGAGTCAGTTTCAACTTGACAGCACACACCACCACCATCAAAATGGCTCATAGGACTGGGGCGAGGGCAAACAGCGGGATTTTCTGCCAGGGAAGCAGGTTAAAACACACTCTTGGCTGTTTGAGAGAAAACTGCATTCTGTAATCGCACGTCCATAAACAGAACCTTTCGGGTGATGCCCGGCATTGATGTTAAAGTGAGTTTCCCTAGGTCATTTTGATGTGGGATCAAGAATGCAAAGCATGTGGGGGTTCTGGACTTCTGCAACCGAGGCAAAGTGAGAAAACTCTGGAAGGCGGGTCCTTGGGAAGGAGGCTCGACTTTTCCCCGGGTCCTCGGCCAAAGGCCTGCAAGGGCGCACTCGGGAGGCAGCGCGGGGGCCAGTAGGATTTCCCCACGCCACCTCGCTCGCCCGGTTAGCAGCTCTTCGCATCGTTTCCCGCCCCGGCCACGCGCGCCCGCCCGGCTCGGGAAAGCGAACCTCAGCGCCGCTCCCCACGCGCACGCGGAGGGGCGGGGGCGCAGCCAAGGGCCGGGTGCCGTGAGACGCCGCGGTGCGACTGGCCGAGCCTCCTCTCTCCCAGCCGGGTGCAGCCTCCTCCCCACCAGCCCCGGCCCCGCCCGGGCCGCCGCTCCACCAATCGCCGGGCTCGCCCGCCGCGCGCACCTGCAGGAGGAGCCCGCGCATCGCCGCGCAGCGTCCGCGTCCGGCTCCGCCCCCAGCGCGGCGCCCCGAGATCACCCGCAGCCTGCGCCCGGCCGCCCGCCGGCGAGAAGCGGAAGCCGCTTCCTCCGAGGCGGACAGCTGCGCGTCTCAGCCCGGCGCCTGCAGAGCCGCAGCTTCCGGGCGGCCACGGCGAGGCGCGAGGCGGCGGGTGTCCGAGGACCCTGTACGAGCGGGCGCCCCGAGCGGGCAGCCCCGGCGGCGGCTGCGATCGCGATCGCTGCCCCGCGAGCAGCGCTCCATGCCTGTGTGGTGCTGCCGCTGCTCCCTGACCGGTCATTTCAGGTGACTCTGCACCGGGAGGGCGGGCTGGGGAGCCGGGCGAGGATGGAGAGGGGACAGGCCGAGCGCGCTGCGCCGTGGGCGAGGGCGAGGGCCTGGACAGCGGCGTCCTCCCGCATCGGCCCCAGCCCCGGGGAACTCCTCGCTGGGGAGAACCCTCTTAGGTTGTCACCCTTTTTCTCACCCTGGACTGCACCAGTCACGGGGCTGCAAACCCAGCTAGGCCCTGGAGTGAGTTGATAGGATGACCTGAGACCTAAAAGTAGTACAAAGTTTTTGAAAGGGACTCCACGAAGGGCTCCCTTTTCTGATATTCATTACTTATTTAAAAGCATCACCTGATGGCCCAAGTTACTGTGTTCGGGGACTACTTTTAAAGTGCTGGTATCTTGTTAAAAATGGGAGCTGAGTAGTTAACTAGGTGCTAATCATTGTAATTCATTATGGTGTAGACATTGGAAAAATGGGGCTATTTTAGGCTCAAGTTATGAGTCAGTTTTTAGGAATTACAGCATTTTAAAGGAAAAGGGGTTATATGTTTTGGATTTGACACAACTGGCCAAAGACGGGTTTTAGTCTTCTGGTGAAGGACCATGAGGAAGGAGCTTCACTGTTGAGCCCACTGAAGACAGGTTAGTAATGCAAGCAGGGTTATACTCATGTGCCAGGATAATCTCTTTATGGTAAAATATGAAACTATCTTTTAAAAGTTCCTAAATCCCCATTTAAATTTAGATGGTTTGTGAACTTGGATTGTAAGAACAAGCATATTTTTTCACCAAAAAAGCCGACGTGTCTTTTAATTATTCTTATAAAGAGTATTTGTGAAGTTATCAATTACTAACCATTTGACCTGTTGCCATGGAGATGATCCTCATTATGTGTTCGCACCGAGTGTCACGTGATGTAGAACTGGGCTCCACAGGGTTTCCAGTGGCTCATTTTTCTCGATGGCCATACTTTTCCAAGTCTTCTCCGGGTTAACTTGAACCTCTCTCCAGTGCATTAAAAATATACACCAGCCATCAAAGGAAGTGACAATGGCTTCATACCACATGTTGTTACACACATCTGGAGATGTATTCATGCTCATTTCTTCACATTTATACTTCACATTTATATTATCACAGTTAACTTAGTCAATAGAGAAGTCCGTGTACATTGCAAGTTGAATGTTAGCACTATTTTAATACACTTGCTGTCATAGAAGTCTTTAACTTTCTCCTAATATTCAGCACAAGGGCCAGGAGTTTTACCGAATTGCAAAACAGGGATAAGATGCAAGAAAGGTTGAGAAATAAGTCTCTAACTGTAACGAAGGCAGTCATTCACGTTTCCCTAGATCTCATTAAACTTTCAGTCATTTATTTCTAGACCTTTTTAAGAAATGCTTTCAGCTTTTAGATTTTTTTTTTAAGCTATTGGCAGATTTGCCTATTGACAGACAATGGTTTGAGTGTATCAGACTTACTTCATAGAGTTTTAGAAAACAATTCTCTTCCTGAACTCTTGCTCACCTTATGTCCCTCGAAAACTCAGATGACTTTCAGATTATTGTTCAAAAGGATCTTGGCAACTTTTTGTATGATTGCACTGTTAAAGGGACTGGTTTGAGGTTCATCTGCCCACCCTTCTCCTGCAGTTACGTCTAGACTGTGGATATGACATGGTTTCTTGTGTATATAGAAATATAGTTGTTGTTATTAGGTGCTGTCAAGTCAGTGGTGAAAAAAAGTGCTGTATTTTGGTTTAGGGAAATAGAAAGAAAATAAGAAGCATGTTGGCCAGGAAATGAAAATTTTGTCCAAGAACTCATACTCAAATTGTGAAAACGCTCTGTTTTGTATCAAGTTTGAAAGGGGGGGGGGTGGAAATAAATACAATTTGCTTGCTAGCTTCATTGGGAAAATGTTTCTAATTTACTAATGCTATTCTTTTAGCACTTTTATTTGTAACACATTTTAAGATAAGTTTTGGTCTGCATTTTAGATTTTATTTAATACATGAAAGAATAAATGTTAGGAGAAAACCATCCACTAACATCCCAAAGGCAAAAGCTCCATCGTTTCTGTTCTGGAAGTTGCTGTGTGTGACTGACTTTTATATGTGACTTCAGAACATTCCTTTTTCCATGGTAGTTTCAATTTGATAGCAAATTAGGATCATACTTCCAAAGACGATTGGAAAATAAGTACAGTAGGCCTTTGAACTATCATTTAAGTATTGTTAGGATTTGAACTCTTTTAGTTATCCAAATATTATGTCTGTGTCATCATTTTAAATTTGTTTTGAAATTCTGGACCTTAATGTTTCCAAAACAAAAGTTTTCCTAAAATCGTCTGCTTTAGTATTTTCCAAACAGTAATTTTTAGATTTTATTTGTACCCTCCATTACGAACGAGTATATTTAATTTGTATTGCTCAACATAAATGCTTTTTTTAAAGTACATGAAAGACTACCAAATTGGATGCACAAAATGGAAATTTCCACTGATAGGAGTCTGATGCTGTGGTATGTATGTATATGCTTTAGAATACTGACAAACCAGACCAAAATTTGCTCTTAATTGATTCAACTCCCCACTCATTGCAGCCCAGTAGAACAAGGTGAAAACAGCCTCATCGGGTTTCCAAGGCTGTGAAAGACTGCCCCATCTTTTCCCCTTTGAATGGCTGGTGGGTTAAATACCCACTTCCATCAGCGGCTGAGCACCTTCACCACTATACCACCAGGCCACCTGAAAAACACTGGTAGCAGTGTCAGTTTATATAAATAGAACTCAATATGTTTTTCCTAAAGTAATTTCTAGCTGCCTTATTGTAAAACCACTGAACTAGACTTTCTTTTTTGTTTGTATTCAGTGTGGATCTCGGCATTAAATGTATTGGAGAACCAGTATTAAATGTATCAAATAGTGTGTGTATGTATTTATTACAAATAGTTTGTCACATAGATTATGCCATTGGATACGAAAACTGTTTGAACAAATTACATGTACTCAAAGCGATGTGGCGCTTTCTCAAGAAGTAGCAAATAGAGATACCATTTGACCCAGCAATTCCACTACTGGGAATATACCCTAAAGAGACCATAAATGACATCCAAGTAGATATATGCATACCCATGTTTATTGCGGCTTTGATTACAATAGCAAGGAGTTGGAAACAACCTAAATGCCCATCAACAAACGAATAGGTAGAGAAGCTGTTGTATATCCGCACAATGGAATACTATGGTGCACTGAAAAACAAGGAACCCATGCAATATTATTCAAAATGGGTGACCCTGGAGGACATTATGCTGAGTGAGGTATCTCTCAGTCACAAAGGGACAAATGCTATATGGTGCCACTGTTGTAGAATGAGGCTGGCATTGGGGTGGGGTTAAGGCTGAGAAAAACTGGATGAAATATGTTTACGGCATTGAAGTCTATGGGGGAGAGAATAGTTTAAAAGTATTATATTTTAGGGCATTATGTTTATCGTAGGAGTACGCAATGAGGGTTGCAGAGTGGATTATATTTGGGGTTGGGGTTGGGATTGGGGGAGGTGGGGGGGATTGTGTACCAATGAGGGAGTTTTTCTTTTGCTTTTCAGGGAGAGGAGCAAACGGGGGGGGGGGGGGGGTTGGGGGTGGGGCCGGTACAAGGGTGCAACAATGAATAAATGGAATTCCAAAATTTCTGTAGATGTTCATTGAAATGAAAAATACATAAATTAAAATATTAAAAAAAATTAAAACTTTGGCTCTACTTACAACATGCAGTAGTCAGTCACCTGAGCACACTCTCTGACCCCCACCTACCCTTACCCCTCAAAAAGAAATAAATAAACAAACAAATAAATAAATAAAAACTACTAGAACCAATAAGCAAACTCAGACATATTGCAGGGTACATAAACCAATTTTATTTCTGTACACTATTGTTGTTGTTTTTGTTAAGGGCCGTGAGGTCGTAGGCGACTCTATGAATGAAAGATCTGAACACTTGTATAATTATCATCGTTTCTCCAATTTCACAAAATTTCTGGAGGCAAGCTATTTTGGAAGTGGATGCCACTCCTGCAAATAACTTGAAAATTAAATGAAGGAAAAAATTACATTTAAAGTAGCATTAAAAATAATTCTGTATGTAGGTAGGATACATTTACCAAGGAAAAACAAGTCTTGTATACAAAAAAGGGCAATGTTTTAGTATCATTGTTGAAAGAAAGCAAGCTTAAATGGAAAGCAGTCTTATGTCATTGGATCAGAAAACTCAGTATTAAGATAGGAATACTTCTTAGATTGATCTACAGATTGAGTGCAATCACTCTTACAAACACAGCTGCCCTCCCATCCCTCACCCCCCCAAGAAATTGAGCAGCTGGTCTTAAAATTCAAGTGGAAATGCAAGGAGCCCCAGAATAACTAAAACGAAATCTTGAAAAGAACACAAATGGAGGACTCCCACTTCTAAATTTAAAAACTCAATACAAAGCTTTTGTAGTTGAGACAGGGTGTTGGCATATGAATAAATATATGCTGGTGGAATAGATTTGAGGGTTCACAAATAAACTCAGTACTTATGTCCAGTTGATTTTCCTTGAAGATACCAAAGCAATTCCAGTGTTAGAGAATAGTCTCTTAACTTAGTGGTGCTCTGACATGTAGATATCCGTGAACAAAGGACTCTAGCTCTTAACCATATATAAAAATTGACTCCTATGTAGCAAAGAGCCAAAGCTACGTAAAACCTTTACTCAGAAGAAAACAGTTACAAATCATTGTGACCTTGAATTCACTCACTCATTCATTTGTTGCCTTCAAGTCGGGACTGACTTCCAGGTGATGATCCTGTGTTTTCAGAGACTGTAAATTGAGTAGGAAGAGATTACCTTTCTCTTGCAGCTGATGGACTCAAACCTTCTACCTTTGTCTTAGATATGACTTAAGAAGTACTCTCAGCAAATAAAAGATACTAGACTTAATAAAAATTAACTTTTTTTGTGCTTCATAGGACACCAGGAAAGTGGGAAAAAAAAAAGATAGCCAGCCTTACTACAGAAAGGGAGAAAAGATTTGCAGTTCATATCTCCGTGAAGAGCTTATGTGTATTCAGAATGCTAAAAAATATTCCCAAACCCGTATAAAAAAGATCACTCAGTCTAAAATTGGGCAGAGGATTTAACTCACTGATTCTTCAGTGAAGAATAATACAATACATAATATAATACAAGAATGTACAGTAACACATGAAAAGCTACTCAGAGTTATCAGTCATTAAGACAAGTTGTTACTGAGTTTCCCCAACTCATAGCAACCCCAGTTACAGCAGTTATACTTCATAGAGTGGCTACTTTTTTTGCCTTTTGGTTCCAGTCTATACAGCCAGGGCTCTTAGGGACTTAGAGCAAATCACAAAATGAAAGGCAGCCATGGAAACCTGCGCCAGCCAAGAAGATTTGTTTTGAGAGGATGTAATTCAATCCCTGTCAGTAACTTTCAAGAAAGACAGTTGGATTTTAATTCAACCCTTTTTAAAGTGCTAAATCTAGTGAGTACTGCTCCAATTCTTAAGGATGTGAATGAATATCGAGCCTTCATTCATATCAAGCAGTTACTTATAAACTTAAGAAACTCGTCAGGGTCTTATAATTGGGCTATGTTTATAAAGTTGGATATTGTTGGTGGTTGTCATTGAGTCATCATGTAGGAAAGATAGAACGGCTCCCTGGTTTTTTCAAGGCTGTGACCTTTAGGAAACAGATCACCAGGCCTTTCTTCTGAGATACTGCCGGATATGTTCAGAGTAGCACCCTTTTGGCTAGTAGAGTTAGGTCGTTGTCTAGGTCGTTGTCATTACGTCTTGTCAAGTCAGAACTGACTCATAGCTGACCACCACCCCTTCAGTGAGTTTTGAAAGGAAATAAATTGTACAGGGGATTACCCATACCTCCCTCCTGAAGCACCTGATGGGTTCAAACTTTGTACCTTTTGGTTGGCAGTGCAGTTACTTACTACTAGGTCACCAGAACTCCCTATTGGCTAGTAATTGAGGGCTTCTCTCTTGCAGACCAAGGGTCCCAAATGATGGAATAATTTTACAATTATTAATAATGATACAAACAGCCAGGAATGAGATAGAGCAGAGAGCATAAAACAGGGGGCCAGCAGTTCTCCACTGAAGACCTCAAGCCATATTTCTCTGTATTTATTGATAATCTAGGGAAGCAAATAATAAAAGGAATTTCTTGTAAATGAAGGCGAATTTTTCTCTATTGTCAACCTAATGCTCTAGCTCAGGAAGTATTTCACAGGTAGTAACACTCCCTCTATAGGGGGCCCTACCTGTCTTCTGTCTGCAGGGAACAAACAGCTCATTTTCTGGGATCTGCCACAAGAGAAATCCTAACTTATAAATCTGTAATTCCTTCAATTCCTGAACAAGGGTTTTCATATATTTGGTATGAAGTTTGGCTTCCCATACTTCTCCTTATATGTGAGCCAGGTAGTAATTGCTAAAATACTTACGATTACAGTAGTTTTCAAAGGATCATCTCAGAGATGCTTAGAAGCTTAGAGAGTGGGAGAAGGATAGGCAGTCTCCTCCCATGTAATTAACTGTCTTTAAAAAAACTTACTGGAGAGTCAGCTATGGATTGATTCCGACTCTACAGTATACAACAACAACGACAACAGAAATGTTTAAGTCATCAGGCTCAAATTGGCAGCCTCAAGGAGGCAGGCCCTCACTTTTTAAAAAAGTATAAAATCTTTGTTAAGGTTTAGAGAAGGAAACATTTCACTTTCCTAAATCTTGGAATGGTGATAATTTTTTTTAATTTCAGGTTATGTAAGAAAGTAACTAGCTCTAGAGTCCCTGTTGGTTGTGTACATAGAGTTAGAATCAACCTATAGCTGACCCTCTAGCGAAGTTTTTTAGAGGCAGTTAATTATACAGGAGGATATTGCCCATCCTTCTCCCGTGGAGCAGCTGGTGGTCCTGATGACCGGTGTGCCTTCAGGATGGCAGTGAAGCTCAGCATCAAGAAGATAAAGATTCTCACCATTGAGCCAATTGACAGCACCACGATAGATGGAGAAGAGATTGAAGTTGTTAACAGTTAGCTTGTTCAGCTCCACAATCAACACTCTCGGCTAGCAGTCAAGAAATCAAAAGGTGAATTGCACTGGAAAATCTGCTGTCAAGGACTTCTCCAGAGTACTGAAAAGCAACAGTGTCAGTCTAGAGACTAAGGTGTGCCTGATCCAGTTCATTATCTTTGCAGTTACTTTCTTTGCATCAAGAGCTGTACAGTGTCTAAGGATGACAGAAGAAGAATTGATGGCCTTTTAGTTGTGGTGCTCGAGAAGAGTCTTGGACATACCATGAACTGCCAAGAAAACAAATAAGTCTGTCTTGGAGAGAGTGAAACCAAGTTTCTCCATGGAGGCTAGGATTTTGAAGCCCCATTTCACATACTTGGGCAGGACATCATGCTTGGACATCATGTCCTTGGAGAAGGACACCATGCTTGGAAGGGTGGAGGAATGGCACAGGAGAGAAAGATCTTGGATAAGATGATTGACACAGTAACTGGGGTAGTGGGGGTAGGTGTATCAGAGACAGTAAGACTGGCTAAAGACAGGGCAAGCTTCAGAGCTCTCATACATAGGGTTGCTGTGAGTCACAGGCGACTTAACAGCACATAACAGCAACAAGGAAGTAACAGTGTTTGTAGTAAGGATGTCTGGAAGATTGAAGATGAGGTCAGTCTGCATTTCCTTAAAAAAGAATAGTGACCTTTACAGGAGCAACAATAACTAACTTTATGCAGTCAGATTTGGGTGGTCCCAAGCCCTTAGAAGCATTCAAAGATCTAGGGGATCCATCTATCCAGTACAGACATTTAGGGAAATAGCAGGGATTGGTTTTGGCTCAGTGGCATTGAGAAAGTTGAACAGAGTAGAAAGTATTTTGTAGGAGGTTTTAGAGAATTATAAAATCCTCAATACAGTGTTGTGTCTTTGGTCATTAAAAAGAACTTATTTAATACAGACTTGTCTATAAAGTACTAAAAAGTGACTGAGAACCTTCAAAGGGTTATAAATTAGGTCAAAGGATTGTAGTTGACAGAATTAAATTACACTTTATTTTGAAAGCATGAATTAAAAGGATTTTCTTTTTCTGTTGAATAATTTGTGGCCCAAGCAAATGTAAAAGTTAAAAAAATCTGAGTAAAAACTGATTTATTTCTAACGGTGATAGTGACTCGCTTTTGTTATATGTTTTGTTTTGATTTTAAAGGAACTATAGTGACTCTGAAACTGAAGGAGAAATTTTTAATTCCTTGGTGCAATATTTTGGTGATAATTTGGGGCAAAAAGTTAAAGCAATGCCATTAGTTGAAGAAACTTCTTTACTTGAAGATTCATCAGTGACTTTGCCTGTGGTAATAATAGGTAAGTTAATGCATTCTACCTCTTAAAATTAGTAATGAACCTTACTTTTATAAATCTACATTTGCACAGAAGTTCCTAGGGACCGCACTGAAAAGTATTCTTGTGTTGCTTGATGTGTTAGAACAATAAATAACTAAATCTTGGAAGATTATAGTTAGTTCATATAACATTAGATTCTGATGTTGGGATGTAGCATATATATGGAAAGACTAGTACTATTATGGTATTTTACTGTTATTTCCTATATTTGGTCTGGGATAAATGTCAGGATAATGATGGAGGGTGGAGGGCAGCACAAGAGAAGACAACCCTGGATGACATGGATTGACTCAGTGACTGGGGTCATAGGGGTAGGTGAGTTAGAGACAATAAGGTTGGCTCAGGAAAGAGCAGGATTCAGAGCTGTTGTGCATAGGGTCACCATGAGTCACAAGTACTCGACAGCACATAACAACGATGATGATGACAGAGTAATATTCTTGGCATTCTCTGTATGTTGTTGGATTATACTTAAAACTCCATTTGTAGAACAGATTAAAAGCAGGGAAACATTCAGACATTTAGGGTTAGTAAGAAGATTACTACTGATTGTGCAAGCTAGTTATCAGTGTTCACTTAGTGAACGTTATGTTGTTGTTAGGAGGCACTGCGTCAAGTATGACCCATAGCAACCCTGTGAATAACCGATTGGTATACTGTCCTGCCCTGTACCATCCTCACAATCTCTGAAACACTCAAGCCCATTGCTGCAGTCACTGGGTCAGTCCACCTGGTTGAGGGTCTTCCTGTCTTTTGTTGCCCCTCCAACTTTGCAAGCATGATGTCCTCTCCAAGGAATAACCTCTCCTAGCAAAAGTAGTAATGTCCAAAGTAGTACTCTGCAGTAGTGTTTGTAATCGTCATTGACCATAACATTATGGGGTTTTTAAATATATGAAGTCTTTATATCACCTCAGCATATATATATGAAATATAAAAATTAAGTTTTCACAAACTTATTTAGAATTTTTAAAAATGCTGTGATTTTGGTTTTTAGTTTTTGGGGCTTTTTAAAATACTATGCTTTTATTATATCCATTTAATGATCTGTCATGCTTATCTTCCCTCTAGTAGGCTCCAAGTCAGAAAAACCCTAAATAGTGAAATTAAGATGAAAGAGAGATTTACTTGAAATAAGTGTCCTGGAGGCACATAGAACTTCTTCACTTTCTTTGATAGCCAGTTTCAGTGTTAAAGGAAAGAGAAGAGTCTCTCACTGGCATATGGGAGAGATTGTGAAGGAAGAAAGCAAAGCAGAAGAATAAACATTGTTCTTCTAGACTAGATTTTCCTCTGTGGGATTTGATGGAAATGACAAGGGTTTATGGTAGTAAATTCCCATTTAAGATAGATCTCAGGGACCCTACCTTGTTGCTTGCTGTGCACCACAGAGTTGGAAACACAGTTGACCCTCTGGCCGGTTTTCTGAGGCAGTTAATTGCACATTATTCTCCCACAGAGCAGCTGGTGACCTCAAAATGTGTGCAGTGCAGCTTCTTGTCGCTAGTCAGTTGAATGTCTCAAGACATTCTGTGGACTTTGAACTGTCCTCGTCTGTACCTGTCCTCAATTCCCCCCAGTCAGTCTTTGTTTTTTACCTAAGTCTATGAATAGCTTCTTGTTGTGTGCCCTGGAGTCTGGACCAACTCACAGCTGACCGTCCAAAGGGTTTTCACAGGCAGTTAATGGCATGGGAGAAGATTGCCCATCCTTCTCCTGCAGAGCAGCTGGTGGATTCAAACTGTGTACCTTCCATTCCAGTGCAGCTTCTTACCACTAGGCCGCCAGAGTTCCCACCTAATGTTTATGGGGCAGTTAGCGATAGCTCTGTGAGCTTGAGACCAGGGAAAATGATTTCCCTAATACATATTATTAGGGAATTCTGGTGGCCTAGTGGCAAGAAGCTGTGCTGCAATCCTGAAGGCATGCAATTCAAGGCCACTAGCCACTGTGTGGGAGAAGGATGGGCAGTCTCTTCCCGTATGATTAACTGCCTCTGAAAACCTGCCGGATAGTCAGCGATGGGTTGGTTCTGACTCTGGTACACAACAACAACAACAACAACAACAGCAACAGTTTTTATTCTTGCAGTAACAAATAAGCACACATCTAATGGCTTTAAAATAAGTTTGGTATTTTAGCCATCTGTAGGAAACTCTAATACTGGATTCAGCCTAAAATCTGTATTGCTGCATCCCTTTCTGTGGGCCCTAGGGGAGACTCTTTGCCTTTTCAGCTTTGCTTGTCTTATTATGTGCCTTATGTTGCTCTTCCACTGTAATACCAGCAACATGGGCTCACACTGATGCCTTTTCCATAGTTACGACCCTGTGGTCACAGCTGAGAGAGGATCTCTGTGATTATCTTGGACTCATCTGGTATTCCTGGCTATACCTTTCCCCACGTCCTAAAACACATTTTTAAGAGTTGCTTTTGTAACCTAATATATTCCTAGATCCTGGGGATTAGGAAGGGCCTTCTTGGGGCAGACCTTTACTCTGTCTGCTGTATTTCTTTTGTAAACTGCCCTTTGAATTATTTAGTTTTGTCTTTTTGATTCTTAATTTTGTTGTGTATCAAGGAAATTAATACTTTTCTTAGACCCTACTTCCATTAATCCTTTGCTTTTCTGGTTTTAGGAAGTTAAATGATTGGTTTTCCTTTTAGCTCTTTCAGGTTTTTTTTTTATACTCAATGACGTTCAAGAAGTATAAGGAGAACTGGCACCCCATTTTCTAGTGTGTCAATAGTTTTATTTTTTTATGTTTACATCGTTAAGTGAATTTTCTTAGGGGGCAAAGTCTTAGGCAAACATGATTTTTTTGTTTTTCCTTTCTTCTTCAGAAGCCAGTATTTGCCCCAGTTGGGATTAAGTCATTGGTGATGAAATTAAGAAATGGCAATCTAGGTTAAAGGAAGTACAGATAGTTCCTTATGCAGATAGCTTCTGTTGTAAACTGGCTATGATGTAAGTTGAATGCTTTTTTTTAAAAAAATTAAAAGTCTTATTGCTGTTGCCTTTTATTGTATGTAGCACAAACTGCAAAGAATGAAATGTACTAAATCTAGATACACAACTGAAAAACCTAAAACATTGCCGAAAGAACTGATGGGTATGTCTCAGAGAAGATGCATCTGGAGTGCTTCTTGGAGGCAGGGATGACAAAGCTACATCTGTTATACGTTAGACGTGTTAGTGGGAGAGTCTATTCCTTGGAAAAAGATAGACTCCTGTCAAAATGGATTGACAGTGGTGACTGGTGATGGGCTCAAGTGTCTCAGAGGTTACGAAGATGGCACAGGATAGGACAGGATTCAGGTCTGTTGTTGATAGAGTTGTTGTGAGTCAGTGGCATCTAACCACAACTAGAATATGTCATAAGTTGGAGACTACCTGTACACGAACGAAGAAATCAGCAAGAGATGTAGTTTGGGTTAATTAAATATATAAATTTACACAGAGGCCATATTAGAAGGTGAGACGAAAAGGGTGATTGAGACCAGATCATGGAGAACAATAGATACAAGCAGTTAACATGATGAGGACAGTATGTTACCAACATATGTCTGAATATAGAATATAAACTGATTTAAGAATGTTTGGCTCTTAGTCTGAATATAGAATAAAAGTGATTTAGAAATATTTGGCTCTTAAGATGAAAGAATTGGAAATTATTTGGTCTTCTGATGTATAAGAATAGTAAAGACTGAATCTAGATGGCAAAAATGTTTTAGAACCATATCCTGATTAAGTTAGAGGTTTGCTAGTACCATACTTTTTCTTGTTGTTATGAATATAATTATTCATATAATATTGTTTCATTCATGTACATAGTGTTTTGTGTGTTTTACATTTTCCTTCATTCACATTTATGTTTCCTACAGTCATTCCCATACATTGTGTTTTATAAAATTAATCATCATTGGACTATGTCCACAATTTCCGCGTCTTTTCAGGTCCCCACCGATCTTGCCCATTTCCTGTACCCCATCCCTGCACCCACTATGCTTTGATATGAGATTTAAAGGAAAGGACACCTGTGTGATGAGGCTCCTGTGTTTGCTTTTAAATGCAGTTGTGTTTCAGCTATTACTGGACCAGTGAAATGTGATAAAGAAGTTGCATTTGAAAAAGTTGAATATGCTTTTGGGAAAAAGTTAACTTAGATCTAATCTTGGAAGACAGTAGCATAGAAACTCTTGAAGTCGCTATATAGTCTATATAGTTTGGTATAGATACGACTTTCAAGAACAGTAGAAGAGAATACGAAGGTCAGAAGGAAGTATTGGTGGGCTATTGACAAAATAGAAAAACCAAAGAATGGTTAGTATTAGGCACATTTTGTATTCCTTCTAATTGTTTTTATTTTTGTCTCTTACTAGGAAATGGACCCTCAGGAATATGCCTTTCTTACATGTTATCAGGCTATAGACCATATTTATCATCAGAAGCAATACATCCAAATGCCATCTTGCATAGTAAATTAGAAGAAGCAAGACAACTTTCCATTGTTGATCAGGTACTTACTACTGCCAGCTCTTTTTAATACTGAATGAAATAAGATTAGTTTTATGTTTATATAATAATTTCTAGTATATCTAGTTGCATATCCTTTGGTCTAAATAGCTTTCCATTACCAGTGTTTTTATTTTAGATAAATAAATATGTCCTACTAAATTCTGTTTATTTTGTTAAATTGTTTAGAGCAGAATTGCTTTTAGGGAATTATTTCCTTAAAGATTTTTCATATGTACTCCCTGCTCAAATAATTTTGGGAAATGCTGCTTTTTTTATTACGGTAATGTCACAGAAGACATTAAAAGATGGCATCATCATATATTACGTTAAAAAGCCCTAGTTGGCTTTGTTGAAACCCCTCTTTTATTTATCCATCCAAAGAACTTTTAAGATCTCACGGAAATACTGGGTTAGTGTAAGAACCTTCAGCATTTTCATGCTGAACACAGCATGTACACTGTTTACTCATTGCTAAACTCTGCTTTTTTTGTTTTTTGTGTTTATATATATATATGCACACACACATATATATATACACACACATATTCAGGACTTAGAATACTTGTCTGAAGGCCTTGAGGGCCGATCGTCCAATCCAGTTGCAGTACTTTTTGACACACTTCTTCATCCAGATGCTGATTTTGGATATGATTACCCATCTGTTTTGCACTGGAAGTTAGAAGAGCATCATTATATCCCTCATATAGTTCTCGGTAAAGGTCCTCCTGGTGGGGCTTGGCATGTGAGTATTGTTTACTATTATTTTAGTACATATATAAGTTATTGTAAGACCAGCTTGATTGCTAAGCATTTTAATTATAATTTTATATATAGTAAACGTATATGTATGTATATATGTTGTTGTTGTTAATTGCCTTCAAGTTGAGCACGACTCATAGCGACCCTGTAAACAAAAGGCCTGAAGCCCCTCTACAACTGTCGACATTTATCAAAGTTCATAGAGTTTCCAGAGGCATATTGTTTAGGAAGTGGATGCCACTCCTGCTTCCAAACCTTTCATAGAATGTTATTGGTTGAGTTGCCTGCAATGCATAGTGACCCTGTGTAAGCAGCTCTGAATGCTTCCCTGTCCTGAGCCAGTCTCACTAATTTTGACACACCAACTTCCATTGCCCCAGTTACTGTATCAATCCATTTCATCTGGGGTCTCTCTCCCTTGTGCTGAGCGTCCACCCTTCTGAGCATGATATCCTTCTCCAAGGACTGATCTCTCCTGACTATGTGCCCAAAGTAAGTAAGGCAGAGCTTCAAAATCCTAGCTTCCAAGGAGAAACTTGGTTTCACCCACTCCAAGACAGACCTGTTTGTTTTCTTGGAAGTCCATGGTATGTTCAAGACTCTTCTCCAGCACCACAACTCGAAGGCATCTGTTCTTTTTTGTGACATCCTTAGTCATTGTCCAACTCTCTGAAGCATAGCAAGTAATTGAGAAAACCATGGCCTGGATTAGGTGCACCTTTGTATCTCGGCTGACATCGTTGCTCTTCAGCACTCTGAAGAGGTCCATGACAGCAGATTTTCCCAATGCAGTTTGTCTATTGATTTTCTGATTGCTGGTATTAAGAGTGTTGATTGTGGATCCGAGCAAGCTGTAATTGCTAACAACCTCAATCTCGTCTCCGACTATTACGGTGCTGCCAGTTGGCCCAGTGGTGAGAATCACTATCTTCTTGATGTTGAGCATCAATCCATATTGAAAACTACAATCCTTGACCTTTTGCAGCAAGTGTTTCAGGTCTTCTTCAATTTCAGCAAGCAAGGTTTTGTCATCTGTATGTCATAGGTTGTTAATGAGTCTTCCTCCAGTTGATGCCACACTGCTACTCATTAAGCCCTGTTGCCTGAATGAACTGTTCTCTGCATGCAGGTTGAAAAGGTACAAGGACAGGATGCATCCCTGCCGCACTCCTTTCTTGATTTTGAGCCATGCAATTTTTCTTGCTTTGTTCTGAGGACTGCTTCTTGGTCCAAGTATAAGTTTCAAATAAGAATCATCAAGTGTTTTGAGATTCCCATTTTCCTCAAGGTTAGCCACAATTTATTGTGATCCACATAGTTAAATGGGTTTGCATAGACAATGAAACAGAGATACACATTCTTTTGGTACTTTCTGCGAACATCCACTTGACATTGGCAATAGTGTCCCTAGTTCCATGACTTCTTCTAAACCAAGCTTGTATTTCTGGTAATTCTCTGTCAATGTACTGTTCAAGTCTCTTCTGGATAATCTTCAGCAGGATTTTGCTAGTGTGTGATATTAGTGATATTGTTCGATAATCTCCACACTCTGTCAGGTCACCTTTTTTTTGAATGGGAATAAATATGGATCTCTTTCTGCCGGTTGGCCGAGTAGTTGTCCTCCAGATTTCTTGAAACATCTTGGTGAGCACATGCATGGCCGCATCTGTTTGCTGAAATACGTCAATTGGTATTCCATCAATTCCTGGGGCTTTATTTTTTTGCCAAATACTTCAAAGCAGCTTGCACTTCCTCCTTCATCACCACTGCCTCTTGCTCATATGTTGTTTCTTGAAATTCTTCTGTAAGCCAGTTCTTTTTGGTAGAGTGACTCTGTATACTCCTTCCATCTGCTTTTAATGCTTTGTGAGTCATTCAGTATTCTGCCCATAGCAACTTATGGCTTGAATTATTCTTTAATTGTTTCAGGTTAAGAAATGCTGAGCGAATTCGGCCCTTTTGATTTTCTGACTCCTGCTCCTTGCACATTTTATTATAATATTTTGCCTTGTCTTCCTGAGCAGCCCTTTGAAATTTTGTCTTCAGCCACTTAGCTTCTTGATTTCTTCCCTTTTCTTTGTCTTCTCAGCGCTCTACATACTTTATTTTTATTATAAGACAGGGACTTTACTGCAAGTCATTTAGTTAAATATGAGATTAATTACTAATAGTAGTTATGCTAAATTTGCTACTGATTTAGCCTTAGAATAAGTCTTATCTCTATTACAGCATATATGTAGAAAACATTAAAGGGATGCTTTTCATAGTAAAAATTTAATTTAAAACTCGCCTGTTCAATTTGGAGTTTCTCCATCTTTCAAAGTATTTAAAATATCCATCATTTCCTTCTGTTTTCAAAATCTTGAATGAAAAATATAATGCACATAAATGAGAAAGTGTTTTTAAATTGAAGAGCTGATATATTAAGGATACATTCACTTGTATGGTATTAGGGAGTCCGCAGCTACTAATTATCTTTTTGTGCTTTACCTGTAGTATATGTTCTACAAAGAAATGTTAAGTATTTTTTCTTTCTTTTGGTCTGAACTTTAGACTTCATGGTCACTTTTTATTAAAGACCAATTTTTAGTACAGATTTCAGCAGCCTCCTCTTATATTAGTGCATTATTATATACCATTACATTTCGTATCGGTTTAATTTATCAAATGACTGTTTCAGGGCCTAAGGGAATCCTTAATTAAGTATATCATGGATTCTTTTCTAAATTTTAATTCTTTTTCTTGTAATGAGTTGCCACTTTCAGGTGCCTTTGCTTTTCCGTATAAATATTTCTTATTGCTCTTTAATGAGTAGCACTCTTTATAAAGCCACATTTCTTGAAAATAATGCTGTGTTTTTCATAAGAGTTTTACACTATCTTCTCTTAAATTCATAAGGTTTTTAGTACACTTAGGTCTACTTAGAAAAATATACAGGCAATAACTGAGCTCTTTGTTACTCCATTTCCTCCATTTACATAAAGAAAAGTTGGATAAGCTTTGATTAGTGGAGTTTATAACAATGTATAGCCTCCATTCATCTGTGCAATTTAATGCCACTAAAAACCTGCAGGAGGGTCAGCTATGAGTCAGTTCTGATTTGACAACACACAACAGCAACGTACATCCACTAGGGAGAAGTTGCAATGCAATCCCCAAGGCACAAGATTCAAATCCTCCAGCTGCTCTGTGGGAAAGGATGGTCAGTCTCCTACTGTGTGATTTACTGCCTCTGAAAACCCACTGGGAGGGTCAGCTAGGAGTTGTCTGACTTGAAAGTCCCTAACAACAATAACATAACTACTAGAAAAACAATAGAAAGAAATTATTTTTAACATTTAGTCTGAAGACTTGATCTTGGAGAAGAGCATAGAACATACCATGGACTACCAAGAAAACAAATAGGTCTGTCTTGCAGAGTGAAACCAAATTTCTCCTGGTGTCTAGGGTTTTGAAGCTCTGGCTTACGTATTTGGGGCATGTGGCCAGGAGGGACCGATCCTTGGAGAAGGACATCATGCTTGGAAGACTTGAGGAACATCACAGGAGAGGAAGACCCTAGATGAAAAGGACTGATACAGTGACTAGGGCAGTGGGGGTAGATGTGTCTGGGTCAGTGAGACTGGCTCAGGACAGGACAGGCTTCTGAGCTCTTGGACAACTCATAGGGACATAACAACAACAACAAGCTTTAGTCCAGTTGTCAGGCATCACCCTTTTTGACTTTCCAAGCTAATTCTTTTCACCTTTGAACATTGTGACTACTTAGCTTTACAGTGATTGCCTGTAGTACTGTTTACATGGTAGCCTCCCCTGCCATGCTTCATAGATCAATCTGGACACCATCATACAGTGTAAACATCATAAATCCTCTGCTCTCTCATTCTCATTTGTTCTCTCTTGTCTTTTTATATCCATGATCTCATTACTCTTTTCCCTTCCCAACTTCTCAGTTAGGTCTTCTTGTTAGGAGTAGATAGCTCTCCATAGCTTGCTCATCATGACTGTAAACTTCTGTTCCCTTCCTTGAGAGTGTGCTGTCCCTTGAAGGTACCTGTTCTGCTGCAGCTCAGTTGGAGCCGAAAGCACCGTGCAGCATAAGAGCACCCATTGAGGTTGGTGTTCAGTTTACTTCCCATTGCTGTATATAAAAATCTTCGTTTCTTTCGAAAAGTTGTGCCATTTTCTAGTTGGGTTTTGTTTTATTTTTGGTTTGGGGTTGTTTTTTTACTGCTCACTCTGTGAACATATTGCAGATCCATCTGTATTAATTCTCTCCATCATCACTGTATAATAAAACTCTTTAATAGTTGCACATCTGGTAATTCGAGTTTTGCATCTTCTTGGTTCTGGGCCTAGTTAATCAGAGTGAGCTTGTCTCAGAATGTTCAGTTTGCTGCATTTTCTCCCTTGGTGATCCTCCTTGTACTTGTAAATAATGCTTCATGGGACCTAGTACATAGGAAATGCTCTGGACATTTTGGGCTGTAATAATAATAATAATAATAATAATAATTTTATTATTTATTATTATTATAGTAGCAGTATGTTCCATTCCCAGTACTACTAGGCTGTATAGAACAAGAAGACTTTTGTAAAAAGAAGCCATGGAATGTTTCACTGGACTTAGAGAAATGGTTGTGGTTGAACTTGTTCCTGGTGTTCAACTTTTGTTGCTTTGTACCAAGGAAAGTGGGAGTATGTAGACCAAGGGAACTTGAAGGGCTCATGTTCTTTGAAGGGAGCATTCCCCTCAGTATTGTGTATTCTTCCCGAGATAACCACTGCTTACCTCTCTGCCCTTTGGAAAAGATGTTGCTGTATCCAGCCAGGCTACACTTTGGAATTATAATTGATGGAGAAAGTAGAAGCTGGTTTCCTGCCTACTTGTAAAAATCTAGCAATGCTAAAATAGAATTTATCTAAAGTTTAGAAAAATCAATCAACTTTTAACAAATGAAATTTTTTATTTGTTCTCTAACATCATATTATCCTCACTATGTTGATCCTAATTCGAAGCTAACATCATTGTACACACATTACACATGTTACAGCTTTGTTTTGTAAGCTTATAACTATATTAAAGATTAAATGTAGATGAATACTCCTAAATGATGAAAATACATAAAATTTCACTGAAATAAACAAGGTTAATTAATACAGTTACTTAGAACTACTTGACACATTCCTTATCTAGAGTCTTAAGTATTAAAAATGACATGGTTTGGTTGGGGGGAAAAATCCTATTACTGTTCAAATGTGTTTTTTCATTGTACTTTTATTCTGAAAGAATATGGAAGGCTCTATGTTGACAATCAGCCTTGGAAATTGGATGGAACTACCTGGACTTAAATTTAAGGACTGGGTGTCTAGCAAACGAAGGTAAAGATCAACCTTTATTGTTATTCTTTGGTGTACAGTGAAAAAAGAGATTGACAGTAGACTTCAGAACATTTATGTAATTTTGTTTTAGACTAGTCATTTAAATGTGCATTTCTTACATATAAAAAACATACCTCTTTGCAGCAGTGACTAGCAATGAGCTCGTTTCCATTAGAGGTGTTTTGAAATTAAGCACAGTGGTAAAGGATTGTTGATTGATTGGGTTCTAGTGACTTGTGTGTTAACCATGGGTTAATCTCACTCTCCCATTAGGCCTTGGGTTAGTTACTGTCTCATCTTCATCTTGTCACACGTTCTTCCCATGCTTCTGTCTACCCTTTTTTTAACAATGCGTATAATCTTATATATATAGTGACCTAAAGTGTTTGATTTTTAAGAGCAGAAGAGTGTATGATTAATAATTTAGAATGATGGAATAAACAAGAATATAAGTCAGTAGAAGTGATTGACTACTTGATTATGGAGGTAAATAAGAAATATGAAAATACGAGTAAGAGGAGTCTCAGCTTGGAAGACTGTACATTTATTTATTTGAGGGAAATAACATTTAAAAAGAAAACTATGAAAACCCCTATTTTCAGGATGCTAAATATCAGGAAGTTTAATGTAGAGGAACTATTTTGTTGACTCACAAAAACAAAAAAGTAGGAAGTTACTTAACCTGTGTTAAAAAGGGACATAACATTTGCATGCTTGACATCCTGAGAAACCATATTAATTTATATGCACCTTTTCCTTAATTTGAAATTTTCTTGAGAGGAACAGCAAATTTAGAACAGTTTGAACAATTGAGCTAAAATCCTCCACAAACTTACTTTTTTTAAAAAAGAATATGTATAGTTGAAAACTTGGAGTTGTAAAACCAAGCAAATTGTACAAGTTCTTGATTTTCTTAAGTAAACAAGTAAAATTGCATAATGGAGTTCTCCTGTTGTGATAGGAGAACAGGAATGCTTCATCATTTATTTACTGCAAGTGTTCATCTTTCTAAATTATACTTAATGTACATGCTTTTAGCTCTGGCCTTTTACATTGTGCTAGGTGCAGACTTCTAGGTTGCTATAGAGATTGACAAGGTTTGAACTTGACCCTTTTTAACATCTCATGTTGTGACCTTGGGCACATAGCTGTCAACTACGAAACTAAAAAATAGGGATGATAATATATGTAACATTAAAAATTGAAAAGGAATACATTTAAAATATTAATTAAGATAAAAATTCTAAAAAAAAGGAAAACTTTGACCACCTTTTCCAGGTGTAAGCTGCACTAGCATGCCCAGTCACGTGGTACATCTTGGCGGCTGCTCACCTCTAATTGGGTCCAGGAGTTAGGTCCCTTCATGCCTTTTAAAGTACAAACCCCAGTGAAACATGAAAAAGGCAGTACTGAAATTTTTCAGAAACAGGTTCTAGTTTTATAGATACCTTTATGAGTAAGACAGCATGCAGAAAGAAATGTTACAGGTATTTAGATATATGTATTTTTTTAAGCAGAAGATTGGTCTGGATTATATTTAAAGATATGGAAAAAATAGTTTACTAAAAATTTTGCAAGATATTATGTCAGTTTTTTATGATACATCTGTATGACAGATTGCTAGCTCACAGTTATGGTCTAAATGATTTCGTAGTCTTAATTTTGAGACATCCCCAGTCTAATCCCTTCGTCCATTTTACTAATAGAGAGTGGCGGTGGCATAGTCTGCAGGGACTTGAGCTGTTGATGCAAAGTCTGTGCCTCTGAAAGCTCATCTCCACCAGTATGTCTGTGGGAGAAATGTGGGCAGTCTCTTCCCTTGTGATGCACAATATTGAAACCCCAGTGGTCAGCTCTATGTTAGTTCTGACTTGATAGCAGTGAATTAGAAGTTATTTTGGTAAAAAAGTCTTCTCAAGTTAATTTGAGCAGACATTATAGCAGATACTGAGAAAACAAAAATATGTTAACTGCATCCTCTAATTTTACAAGACTTCTTCTATTTAAAAACATTCTTTCAACTGAGCTTCTCTATAATGAGAATGTTATTGTTGTTATTGAGTCGCCGGTGACTCATAGTGACCCACTGTACAATAGTCCTTTTTTTTTCTTTTAAATTTTTTTATTTTATTTCATTATTTTTTGTGTGTACCATCAAATCAGATCTGACTGGTACAGGAGGAGATTGTCCCTCCTTCTCCAGCAGAGCATCTGGTGGATTCGAACCGTGCACCTCTGAGATTGCAGTGCAACTTCTTGCCACTTGTACAATAGTCCTAAAACCTGCTCTGTCCTGTGCCATTCTCACTGTCTCTGACACACCCACCGTGATTACCCTAGTCACTGAATCAGTCCACTGCATAGATGGTCTTCCGCTCCTGTGCTGTCCCTCCACCCTCCCAAGCATGGTGTCCCTCTCCAAGGATTGATCCCTCCTTGCAGCATGTCCAAAGTATGTCAGATGAAGCTTCAGAATCCTTGCCTCCAAGGAGCAGCCTGGTTTTACCCTCTCTAGGTTTAACCTGTTCATTTTCTTAGCAGTCCATGGATTCAGTACTCCAACATCTGTCCTCCCTCGTCATTGTCCTACTCTCTGACATATAGCAAGTGATTGCAAAGACCAAGGTCTGTGGCAGGCACACCTTAGTCTCTAGAGTGGCATCCTTGCTCTTCAGTACTTTGGAGAGGCCTCTAACAGCAGATTTTCCCATTGCAATACGTCTTTTAATTAGCTGGCTGCTGGTGCCAAGAGTGTTGACTGTGGAGTCAAGTAAAGTAAAGCTGTGAACAATCTCAATCTCTTTGCCATCCATCCTGATGTTGCCATTTGGTCCAGTGGTGAGAATCTTTGTTTTCTTGGTATTGAACCTCAATCCATGTTGAAGGCTGCAGTCCCTGACCTCCTGCAGCAAGTGCTTCAAGTCCTCCTCAGTTTCAGCAAGCAGGGTTGTGTCATCTGCATAATGCAGAATGAGAATATAGCTAAGACTATTTAGAGGAATTAGTATAGATGCTTGTTAGATAGAGAATTAAGAAACATGAAACTCAAAATACTGTGCCTCATGGAATATATTTTCTTTCCTTTTTTTTATAAAGGAACCTGAAAGGGGATCGAGTTATGCCAGAGGAAGTAGCTCGCTACTATAAACATTACGTAAAAGTCATGGGTCTTCAGAAGAATTTCCGAGAGAATACGTATATAACCTCCGTGTCAAGGCTCTACAGGGATCAGGATGATAATGATGAGCAAGACACAGACATTCCCACAAAGCATTTACAAATAGAGAAGTCACAGTTCATCAAGAGAAACTGGGAAATCAGGGGTTATCAGCGAATAGCTGATGGGTCCCATGTTCCCTTCTGTCTCTTTGCTGAGAATGTAGCTCTGGCAACGGGCACATTGGATTCTCCTGCCCACCTGGAAATTGAAGGGGAAGATTACCCTTTTGTGTTCCATTCAATGCCTGAATTTGGAGCTGCTGTAGGCAGAGGAAAGTTTCGTGGCAAAGTGGACCCAGTGTTAATTGTAGGTTCAGGCCTCACTGCAGCCGATGCAGTGCTGTGTGCTTACAACAACAATATTCCTGTGATCCATGCATTTCGCAGACGAGTAACTGACCCAAGCTTGATTTTCAAACAGCTTCCCAAAAAGCTTTATCCTGAATATCATAAAATCTATCATATGATGTGTACTCAGCTGTATTCTGTGGACTCGGACTTGTCTGAATATACTAGTTTTCCTGAGCACCATGTGCTTTCCTTTAAGTCGGACATGAAATGCATTCTTCAGAGTGTCACTGGATTGAAAAAAATATTTAAACTTTCTGCAGCAGTAGTCTTAATAGGCTCTCATCCTAATCTGTCATTTCTGAAGGAGCAAGGGTGTTACTTAGGCCATAACTCAAGCCAGCCAATTACATGTAAGGGCAATCCTGTGGAAATAGATGCATATACGTATGAGTGTGTTAAAGAAGCCAACCTTTTTGCATTGGGTCCTTTGGTCGGGGACAATTTTGTTCGATTTTTGAAGGGAGGAGCCTTGGGTGTTACGCGCTGTTTAGCTACAAGACAGAAGAAAAAGCAGCATTTATTTGTTGAAAGGGGAGGAGGAGATGGAATAGCGTAAAGTGAGTATATAAGTAATTCATGTGGACAGCTTGCTATTAAAGATTTTTAATATAGTGGTTTTGCAGTGCACTGGCTTACATTTTCTGGACCTGAATTGCCTGGAAGAGAGCCCCAAGCTCTAGGAATCATTTTAAAGTTACAAGAACTTGGTGTTCTACTTACACTGTACTGTGTCAGAAGTGTCATTGTCAAACAGAAACACTGCCAAGTTGTCTCATCTATGTTATGCTCTAACTTAAGGCAATCCTTCTTCTCTCCCAAGACTGACTTTTGCTGACTTAGGGTTATTACTTATATTCTAAAATATTACAGCCTTAGTTTATAAAACAAGTCATTAGGTCAGAAATTGTCCTATTTGATAGTTGGTCAGCTTGTGGGTTAATGGATTGAAGGACCAGCAGCATTGGCCTTGCCTGCAGCTTGTCAGAAATGCAGACTCTTACACCCCACAATAGTAATTGAACCCATCAGAATCTGCATTTTATTAAGATTCTACAAGTGTTCTTTAGACACTGGTCTAAAATAAAATGGTATATAAAGTACGTATGCTGGAGGTAAGAGGAGGGACTGAAGGTATCAAAACTCAGGTTTATTTTATTTTGAAATTATCAATTGTATAGAACTAATTTATTACCAGATAAAAACACCAGATTTTTATTGATTAACCCTTGACAAGAACTTCATAATCTTAGTTTCTAATAATTTAAACAGCCCAATAATGTGTTAGCATATATGCAGATACTGAAGAAGACAAGGTTTTTTTTTGTTTTTTTTTTTTAGATTTGCTCTCTTCTTAGGCACCATAACCATTAAAATTACCCTGGTTTGCAATTCAATAAATTGCTGATGGAAATACTCAAATCTGGGTGAACAAGGAATTAATTTCTGTCACCAAACTTAAGATACAGGGATAAAATTCAGACTTCTTGCTGCCAAGTCAGAACCGACTCCGCTGACCCTCCAGCCAGTTCTCAGAGGCGGTAAATTGCTTAAGAGGAGACTGCCCAACTTTCACCAGTGGACCAGCTGGTGGATTCACACTTCCTGCCTTTCCATTGACAGTGCAACTCCTTACCCACTAGGTCACCAGAGCTTGCTTGATACTGGAATATGGTACATAATATACTAAAGATAAAAAGCCTTTCTCTTTATAGTCAATGTTATATCAATTTGAAACTTCTAACCTCATTTTTTTCAGACAGTAAAACAGGTCATACTATGGTTATTGAATTTATGTGGTTTAATTATTTTTTGCTTATCGAGGTGTGCTTAATCTGCACTTTCAAATTCTTGGGATTTTTTTCATCTTAAACGAAAAATCCTAAGTTTTCTAAGGCAAATTGAATTTCTCAATCTTTAGGTGAAATTTTTTTCAATTGCACTGTATTCATTGAACATTTAATTCTTTCATTTTTCTTAGAATTAAATGAATGGACCAAAATGCTATTGGTTTTCTCTTTTATTACAATGTTATATGCTTAATTTACTAGCGATCATAATTTACCTTTACGGTAATTATTGAGATATTTGCTTCTACCGATAATGCTGCTTCAGATGAATTCTTAGACTCTTGATGACTGTTGTATTTAAATTTAATGTTATTACAATTTCAGTCATAGTTGTCTATTGTAATTTCACAGCTTATTGAGAATGTCCTAACACTCTGAATGTACTTGATTCAGTATTTACTTTGCCTGTTTTTTTAAAAAAAATAATTTTGAAAGAATTCTATGTTTTTCTTAACGTCATTTCTAACTTGAAAATAATGACTGTATTATAAAGATGAACTCTGGTGAAGGGTAAGACCTGTGTCACTCCCTTGTGCTTTGCAAGCCTGTTCTTACTCTGCCGGTACTGTTTTTACGATGAGTGTATGCACTAAAAAATGGCTTCAGGGAAAATAAAGCTTCCATAGGGCCGTGGGTAAACGGGTGGATAATTTCATCTTTGCTAACTTCTTACCAATCATCTTCCAACTCTTCCTGCCTTTTTGAATATAAGTCAAGCTGTCATCTGCTCTTTTATCTTTTATACTTACCCTTCCTTGGATAATGTCTCTTAATTACAAATCTTGTTCTTAAATATCAGCTGTCTTCTTGGAGAAGTGAAGGGTGGGAGTGGAGTCAAAGATGCCCCTAAATATTTGAAGAGTTATCCGTACCATCTTGTGGGTCTCCCTTCTCTCCTACAATTTTATCTTTAAAGCCTCGCACAGTAACAAACACTGTCTGTACTAGATGGTTGCTGAGTGTTTAACAAAGTAAAATGAACTGGACTTTGATGTTTAATACTGTTTTTTAAATTTTTTTTACATTGGTTTGCATACAAAGTTCATATACATTGTTTCATATAATCATTGTGATTCATTGTGCTTTATAAAATTCATCACAACTGAACTACGCCCACCATTATCCTGTCTTTCCAGACCCCTGCTGGATCTTTCCCATTTCTTTAACTGCTCCTTCTACCCACCAAATTATGCAACCCTGTTTTGCCCCCTTGCCCACCTTCACTTCTCTCCTCCCACCCTTTTCCCCCTTGGATTTTCATACACGTTTTACTAGTTACCCTTCTGTTTTAAAAACAATTGTCTTAAGGAGCTCTAGTGGCAAGAAGCTGCACTGCAATCCCAGAGGTGTGTGATTCAAATCCACCAGATGCTCTCCTGGAGAAGGGACAATCTCCTCTTGTGCCAGTCTGATCCGATTTGACGGTAAACACAATCACACACGCGCGCGCAAGTCTTATGTAGTATTTATCCTAACGGGATAAATCACTCAGAATGCCCTCCAGTCTCCCAATTTATGTAGAAATTTTCAAAATTGTTGCTCTTGATTGCTGCATAATTTTCCATTGTGTTAATTGTACAATTTCTCAATCCATTCAATTGTGTTGGACATCTGGGCTGTTTCCATGTTATGTGATGGTGAATAATGCTACTATGAACATTGGTGTACAAATCTTCATTTGTGTCTCAGTTCTAATTTCCTTGGGGTATATTCCTAGTAGTGGAATAGCTGGGTCATACAGAATTTCTATGTTCAGCTTTTTGAGGAAACACCAAACTACCTTCCAGAGTGGTGGTACCATTTTATAACCCCAGTAGAATATGAGAGTTCTTGTCTCTCCACATCCTCTCTGACATTTATTGCTTGCTGTCCTGTTAAACTTTTACCACTTCTATTGGGGGAACATGGTAGTAGTTAAGAAGCTGCACTGCAATCCCAGCTTGACATTTTTATCGTCATGTGATAAAACAAGACTTAGATACCTCTTTCATATTTTATAGATTATCTGACTTTAATGTTTTCAATCAACAACCTGTGTTATGCAGATGACACAACCCTGCTTGCTGAAACTGAGGAGGACCTGAGGCACTTGCTGCAGAAGATCAAGGACTACAGCCTCCTATATGGACTGAAGCTTGCAGAAGATCAAGGACTACAGCCTCCTATATGGACTGAAGCTAAATGTTAAGATAACAAAGATTCTAACCACTGGGCCAATTGGCAGCATCAGCACAAATGGTGAGGAGATTGAGATAGTTAACAGTTTTAATTTACTTGGCTCCACAGTCAACACTCTTGGTAACAGCAGCCAGGAAATCAGGAGACGAATTGCATTGGGAAAATCGGCTGTGAGGGACCTCTCAAGAGTACTGAAGAGCAACGATGTCAGGCTGGAGACTAAGGTGCGCCTGATCCAGGCTATAGTCTTCGCAGTTATGTGCTACTTATCAGAGAGTTGGACAGTGAACAGGGCTGATAGAGGATTGATGCCTTTGAGCTGTGGTACTGGAGAAGAGTGTTGAATATACCATGGACTGCTAGGAGAACAAACAGGTTTGTCTTGGAGAGGGTGAAGCCAGAGTGTTCCCTGGAGTCAAGAATTCTGAAGCTTCGTCTGACATATTTTGGGCATGTTGCAAGGAGGGACTGGTCCTTGAAAAGGGACATCATGTTTGACAGAGTGGAGGGGAGGCGAAGGAGAGGAAGACCTTTGGTGAGATGGAACGATTCTGTGACTGGAGCGGTGGGAATAAGTGCATTTGAGATGGCTAGGTTGGCACAGGATAGAATAACATTTAGAGCTCTTGTACATAGGGTCGCTATGAGTTGCAAGCGACTCGAGGGCACATAGCAAAAACAATCAGAGTTTGTCAAGTAAAGTTTCAAAAGCATAAAATTTTATCATTAAAAAAAATAATCCCCCAAACCCCCAACACAACTGGAAGGTGTTTTAAAATGTTATGTAGTTAATAGGAACACGGAGATAAATTCAAGTTACAGCCTGCAGAATTAAACAATTCAGATTGAATTTAAAATGTCATTTTAAAGTTTAACTTGGATACAAAGACTATTTCTTGCACAAAGCTATTTTAATCTGATTCAGTCATGCAGTCTTAAACTCCACTGGATAGATTTCTAAAGGGAAAAAGCACAGCTCCTTAAGATTTGCAGGGGGAGAAAGGGGTCGGAGGGGGTGGTAAGACTTGCCAGAGGAGAGTATGCAGAATACGTATTATTAAGCGCTCTTGAATGACTCCATCATCTGGGGTATAGAGCAAAAAATATATTGTTGGTAAAGGACTGAGAACAGGTGAAGGAACATGGCTAAGAATCGGAAAGGAAGTGGTACATCAGGAATGCCTCCTCCCTCCATCCTTTTTCAATCTGTATGAAGAACTGATCATCGGAGAGGCTGGGTTCAATGAGGAGGAGTGTGGCATCAGGATTGCAGGAAGACTCATTAAACTTATGCATACCACACAACCTTGGTTGCCAAAACTGAGGAAACCTGAAGTGTCTGCTGTGGAAGGTCAAGCCTTAAATATGGATTAAAGTTCCACAGAAGATGACAAAGATTCTCACAGCTGGGCCAACTGACCACACTGTGATGGATAAAGAGTCTGAGGTTGTTAACAATTTTAGCTTGCTTGGCTCCACAATCAGCACTGTTGGTACCAGCAGTCAGGAGATCAAAATCATTGATTTTGCAGGAAATCGATTTGCACTGGGGCAATCTGCTGTCAGGGACTGCTCCAAAGTTCTAAAAAGCACTTTCGACTGATGTCAGTCTAAAGACTAATGTGTGCCTGATCTAGGCCATGGCCTTTGTAATTGCTTGCTATGCATTAAAGACCAGGACAATAGAGGACTAAGGATAACAGAAGAAGAATCAAGACCTTTGAGTTGTGGTGCTAAAGAAGAATATTGATTGACTGTCCCATGGACTGCCAGAACAAATAGGTCTGTCTTGGAGAGGAAGAAACCAAGTTTATCCTTGGAGGCAAAGATTTTAAAGCTCCATCTCACCTACTTTGGGCACATCACCAGTTGGGACCAGACTTTGGAGGACAGCATGCTTGGAAGGCTGGAGGGACAGCATGGGAGAGTAAGACTCTGGATGAGATGGTTTGACAAGGTAACTGGGGCTATGGGGTTAGATGTGTCGGAGTCAGACTGAAGCAGAATAGGGCAGGGTTCAGAGCTATTGTACCTGAGGTCACTGAGTCTCAGGCAGCCTGATGGCACATTAACAACAAAGAAGAAAAAGGAATGTTATAGACAATAGAACATTAACCTTCATTTAAAGATTAAAAGGACTGATAGTTCAAATCACGATGAAGTAATGGGAACGGAACTTAACCCTTCACCAGAACCAAGTGGAAAACAAAACAAAAATATGTGAAGTATTTCAGGACCTGGAAAATAGAGGGTTGATTTTATTAAAACACATTTTTAGAAAATTGTAAAGACAGGAATGAAACAACACTTAACACTCCATAATTCTTGGCATGTACAATTCTGTGGGACCAAGCTACACAGACTCCCAGGACTAAAAGAAATAAGGGGTGAACTCTACAATCCTGACTTGTCTGAAGACACTGAGCAAACAGGAAGTGGAGTCCAAACCAAGGCTTTCTTATTCATTGTCCAGCTCCAGCTTTTACATGCATATGAAGTGATTAAAATCCCGCATTGTTTGGGTCAGGTGCACCTTAGTCTTTAATTGGGGGAGAACAGGTTTGCAGATAAATAGAAATTGTTGGACCGAGTATTGGAGAGATGCAGGATGCAAATACTTGCGCAAAGATGTTGGGTGCCGTAGAGACATTCATAGACTATCATCCAAACTTAAGATGCCCCCTCGCTAGTGAAATGGGATGTGCAGTAATTAAAGAAAAAGGCTTGGAAATTCGACAAAGTCAAATTAGTGTGAATTAAAAAAAACAACAACAAAAAACCACAAACAACAACAAAAAACCATGAGGTTTGCCACAGCAGTCAATCTTAAAGGGATATATTTTAAGTTTGCTTCTTTCCTCAGGAAAATAATAGCATGGATTCCACTGCCAGCCTTCTAGTTAGCAGTGTTGCTGCGTGCCATCAAGTCGGAACACACCCACGGCTGACCCACTGCAGGTTTTCAGAGGTGGTAAATCGCATGGGAGGAGCATGACCGTCTTCCCTCTGCGGAGCTGCCTGCAGGCTGGCAGGGCAGCAACTCAGCACTGAGCCCTAAGCCTTTTCTTCCACAGAGAAACTGCTAAGTTCTATCCTTTTGGTTAGCAGCCAAGGGCTTACCTCTTACTACACTGAACAGAGGACAAGAACCATAGAGCTTACCAGAAATTAAGTATTTCTATAAATATGTAACCTGACTACTCTCTGCTCTAAACCCACAGTGCCATCAAGTCAGTTCCAACCACGATGACGCTCCATCAGGTTTCCGAGGCTTTAAATCTCAGTAGATCTTTCTCCCTCAAATCAGCTGGTAGATTTGGGAGATGTGAAGCCTCTTTTTGGTTAGCAGTACATCATGTTACACTGTGCTAACTATGCATGCAGATATATTTACAATATATATATAGATATAAAAATTTATAATTTATATGTAGTAATTCAATATGGACTGAGGGCTCAAAGTCAAGAAGACAAAAATTCTTACCACTGGACCAATCGGTAGCATCAGGATGGATGGTGAAGAGATTGAGATTGTTCACAGCTTCAGTTTGCTCGGCTCCACAGTCAACACTCTTGGCACCAGCAGCCAGGAAATCAAAAAACGTATTGCGATGGGAAAGTCTGCGGTTAGGGACCTCTCTAAAGTACTCAAGAGCAACGGTGTCTCTCTGGAGACTAAGGTGTGCCTGATACAGGCCATGGTTTTTGCAATCACTTGTTATGCATCAGAGAGTTGGACAATGACTAGGGAGGATAGAAGGAGAATTGACGCCTTTGAGCTGTGGTGCTGGAGAAGAGTATTGAATGTACCATGGACTGCCAAGAAAACAAAGAGATTCATCCTAGAAGAGGGTTAAACCAGGCTACTCCTTGGAGGCAAAGATTCTGGGGCTTCGTCTGACATACTTTGGACATGCTGCAAGGAGAGACAGGTCTTTAGAGAGGGACATCATGCTGGGCAGAGTGGAGGGACAGCACAGGAGGGGAAGACCCTCTATAAGGTGGATTGATTCAGTGACTGGAGTAATTGGGATGGGTATGTCAGAGGCAATGAGATTGGCACAGGATAGAGCACGGTTTAGGGCTGTTGTACATAGGGTCGCTATGAGTTGCAAACGACTCGACGGCACATAACCACAACAACAATGTAGTAATTATATATATTGTAACTGATAATTTATATATATTTATATAGATATTGTAATATATAATTTATATATCTATATAAGGAGCTGTTCCATCTTCTATCCAGGAGGCTGGGCTGTATGAGAAGTGTGGCATCAGGATTGGAGGTAGACTCATCAATAATCTGTGTCATGCAGATGATACAACCCTGATTGCTGAAACTGAGGAAGACCTGCAGTGCTTGCTGCAGAAGGTCAGGGACTGCAGCCTTCAATATAGATTGAGGCTCAATATCAGAAAAACAAAGTTCTTACCACTGGACCAACAGGCAGCACAGGATGGACAGTGAAGAGATAGAGATTGTTCACAGCTTTAATTTACTTGGCTCCACAGTCAAAACTCTTGGCACCAGCAGCCAGGAAATTAAAAGATGTATTGCAATGGGAAAGTCTGCTGTTAGAGACCTCTGCAAAGTAATGAAGAGCAACAATATCACTCTGGAGACTAAGGTGTGTCTGATACAGGCAATGGTCTTCGCATCACTTGCTGTGCATCAGAGAGCTGGGCAATGACTACGGAGGACAGAAGAAGAATTGATGCCTTTGAGCTGGGTTGCTGGAGAAGATTACTGAATATACCATGGACTGCTAAGAAAACACACAGGTTTATCCTAGAGAGGGATAAACCAGGCTGCTCCTTGGAGGCAAGGATTTTGAAGCTTTGTCTTACTTTGGACATGCTGCAAGGAGGGACCAGTCTTTGGAGAAGGACATAATGCTCGGGAAGGTGTAGGAGCAGTGCAGGAGAGGAAGACCCTCTATGAGGTGAACTAATTCAGTCATTGGAGTAATCTGGGTAGGTATGTTAGAGATAGTGAGATTGGCACAGGATAGAGCAGAGTTTAGGGTTGTTGTACCTAAGGCCGCTATGAGTTGCAGGTGACTCGATGGCACATAACAACAATATATATATATATATATATATACATACATATATATATATAGTAATCATATATATATATTTTAATTTATAACTTATATATATATGCATAGTTAACACAGTGTAACATGATGTACTGCTAACTAAAAAGAGGCCTCACATCTCCAAGTCTACCAGCTGATTTGAGGGAGAAAGATCTATACACACACACACACACACACACACACACACACACACATAAGATGAATATAGCATATGTTCTGGTAAAAGCCTATGTGTAGTTCTGGGTGTAGTTCCTCTCACCTGACCACTGTTTGTCTTGCTTATCTGTCTACATACGCACCTAAAAATGAATGTTTATTATTAATCTATTTGAACTGCATTCAGGCCTTCCCTGTTCTTGTGAGACCTGTCTTCTGCACTGTCTTCAATTTCCAATACTAGAGTAACAAATGGTGATTGTCACCACTAAGATTCACTTTAGCTCAGAGAAAACTGAAATTACAAGGGCCAAATGCCATTCTGATATACTTCTGACTTCAAAAAGAGAAAAAGACCAAGGTGCAAAGCACCATACATTTTCTGCTTTCAGTTATGGGGAAATGTACAGAAATCTGAATAGACATTAAAAACATCTGCAAAGACTCAATAAATTGGCATTATGCATTTCTTCCAGGGGGCTCTGGAGGCTTGGTGGTAAGGGGTTGCATGGCCAAACCCAATGGCACTCAGTTCAACTACACCAGCTGTTCCACAGTGGAAAGATGGACAATCTCCTCCTACACAATTTACTGCCTCTGAGTGTCAGCTGTGGGTCTATTCCTATTGAACAGTACACAACATCAACAATAACAATGGATTTCTTCTAGGAAAGGTGAAACGGGTAAGACATAGAAAGGAAAGGGAGAATTTTTGTTTTTATAGTTGGAAAATTTTTTAACTGATTATTTTAACTATTTAATAATTAAAAAACACTTTAATCATAACTAAAAATTTACTGGATGGTTAAGATGGCAAATCCAAAACATGTTATTTCTTTTCCAAAGGCACCCCCCAAAAGTGGAATTTTGCTTAACAATTTTAGGTCATAAAATATTTGTATTTGAAATGTTCTATACATTACATTCATATATATATAGTAATGCTTGCTATTAAGTATTTCTCCAAAGCTGCTTTTAAAATTCCGTTATCTTCTCCTTTTTACATTAGGATTATATCTGTAAAGAAAAAAGAGAGTTAAATAACATTTAGAGTAATGAGGACCTTCTTTTTTGTACTTTCAGAGTTAAGACTTCAAAATACAGTCTCTTATTTTATCCTTTAAAAACTCAGACTCACTGCCATTAAGTCAGAATGCACTCAGAGCTGACCCTCCAGTGAGCCGTTTTAGGCTATAAGTGCACTGGAAGAGATTGCCCATCTTTATCCCTTGGAGCAGATAGCGGATTTGAACTGCCCACCTCTGCAATGGCAGAGCAATTCTCTAGCCACTTAGGCTGTATTATAATAAGCACCGGAATTTCCCCTCCATTTACTATTACTGATAGGTATTTAATAAAACCAAAATATGATAGCAATAAAAAATGCTGTAAAGCACTAAAAAGTTTAATGAAAAACCACCTTAGAAATCAGTATGTATTTATATTTCTAATTTTCATATTAAACATATACATGCAAAATACTATTTGCACAAAAGAGCATAATGAACCTAAAATATATCAGTAATTAGCATTTTACAAAATTTCCTCCTAAAGTAATGAACCAAATAGAACTGGGCAATTAGGTATACTCATCTGACCACTGATGAAAAGTTTGTTGTCGCCATCTGCATCAGTAACTCATGTTTTTAATAATAAAATAAGGGAATAAAGCAAATTGTCTGTAGAAAAGACTAAAAAATAAATAGTACTAAAATATATATATTTGGTTCTACTATTTACCTCTAATTATTTTGTAAGTATTTAAAAGCAAATTGTTATCAGGTTTGTTAAGCCTGCAGGAATGCTGAAAATGTGTTAAGTCAGAAATTACAAGCATCCATTGTAACTCTTCCCAAAAGCCTGCCCCGAAATTCTAATCTTGCCTTTTGCTTCTATGCATGTACCAATTAAAACTCCGCACATGGTCTGGCATTTTACTTGCCTTAATTTAAAACCTACTCATTCATGATTCTGTTAATGCTGAACATGTCACAAATTTATAAGCCAAATTAAACCAGCTCAGGAACCTTCTTTTGGCCAAATGCCTCCATTCAAATTTTAAGTACGCTGTGACTGAACAAAACTAAATCAAAATCCAAATTTGAAGACTATATAAAGCGAATTAAAAGGCATTCAAAAAGTAAAATTAAAAGCATGCTAAAAATACATTCTTTAAGTGAAAGGACTAACTACCTCATAATATGGAAGAAAGAAACAAATATTTAGTCTTCTATGAATGGAAATGACATTTATATAGATAATCTCTCAATGGTACATGATAAAGCTGAAATTAAACTTTACCTAAATAGATCATCGGCAAGAGACTCTTCTTTTGCATGTTGATTTTGCACCTGTCAAAAATAACATAAATATCTGCTCAATGCTGAATGTAGATCTAATGAAATGCTATATTGAGAGACCACGTCATCTCTGAGTTCCTGCCTTTATAATATCTTTCCTACCCAACAGATCATTTCATGTCTAGATTATTGCAAAAAGACCCTAATTAAATAACTTTCTCAGTCATTACCTCTTCAAAGACACCAACATAACTTTTCTTTGCTGTTGTTATGTGCTGTTGAGTCAGAACCAACTTATAGCTGACCCTCCAGGGGGCTTTCAGAGGCTGTAAACTGCACAGGAGAAGACTGTCCATCTTTCTCCTGTGGGGCAACTGGTGGGTTTGATCCATTTGCCTTTAGGTTGACATGCAAACGCCTTACCAACTAGGTCTCCAGAGGTTTTGTAAGAATCCTAGCTCATTAAATTGTGCTAGTTTAATAACTTTTAAACATTCTTCCCAGCAAAATTGTTTTACTAGTTTTCAGGGCTTTGGTTCTAGACTAGGGGTGAATATGCTAGAAGGGCAATAGTGATCCCCTCTTACACAGACATGCTCACTGCTGACTTGGTTCTTTAACTCCCAATCCCAAATGGAAGATAAAATCCTCCTACTAATCACCCAAAAAGTAACTTTAAATACACTAAACTCCTAAAATAAAAATAGTTTGGATAGGTAAGATCTGAAAAAAAACCCCAAAACCCAAAACAAACAAACAAACCCGAAAACATTGTATTGGATATATTCTAACACTAGCGATGATTCTATCATTTGCTATAAAAATCAGATGATCAATCTGAAATACTAGACTTTTTGTAGAGGGATATGACACACACTCTGATACAGAATATTTAACTGAGTTCCACAGAAAGAACCAGGTTCAAAAGGAGAAAAGTGATACACAGCACAAGCTGAGCCATTCCTTTGAGTATTTTTCAAGCAACAAAAACTAGATGGAACTGGCAATGTGCTGTCTGTGAACATATTGCCATGCTGATGTGAGACCCAAGAACTGAAGGCAAGCAGAGAGAAGTTACAGGTAATTATGCCGATATTACATTTTTACATCCTAAATTGGCTTTAGAACCTATATGAGGTACCACATGCTTCAAAGGGGAGCTTTGGTGGCCTTCTGATAAGGAGCTGCACTGCCAACCTGAAGGCACATGGATCAAATCCACCAGCTCCTCCAAGGGAGTAAAAGGGCAATCTCCTCTCGTAGGAATAACTGCCTCTGAAAACCTGCTTGAGGGCCAGCTATGAGTTAATTCAAACTAGACAGTACACACAACAAAAAACAATTACACTTCAAGAAAAAAGAAATTTCTCATTAAAAAGCTAAAAGATTAAAAAGAAAAGCTATAAAAAGAACAGCATAGTTATCCTATCTGCTAAAGAAAAAGAGAAAGATGTTGAAATAGAATATGTAAGAAAGATGAAGAACTCAATCTGTGAGAAATAATAACTCAAAGCAATTTAAGAAGAATATGAAAACAATAAAATAAGAACTAAGACTAGATGATTAGAAAACTATAAAACATATACTTGGAAACAAGGCCTCACGTAAATAGCCAAAATAGATGCACAAAGACTTTATGTATCAGCATATGTTATAATATAAAATAACTGCTTAATATACACATAAAAAGGGAGCTTAAGAGATCATCAAGAAAGATTTAAAAAAGAACAAAAAAACTTCCAGAAGTGAAAAAAAAAACACAATAGGTTAAATGTAAAACTCAGCGGATACATAGAATAACAATCAGACAACTTAGGAAACATTGTGAGCTAGAGTTTTTGAAGAAGTTACTAAAAAGCAAAGATGAAACAAAAGATGTTATAATGCATAGAGATAAGGGGATATTTATCTTTTAGAGGAGATAACAGAAAATAAGAAAAAGTAAACTTGCTCTTGATCCAACATTCTGCACTACAACAAGAGTGAAAAATCTACTACCCAACAATTTTTCACATTAATGATGCATCTTTGGCAGTAATGAATGCCAACATGCAAGGTGAGAAAAAGGGTATCACTGTGATGGTTTAGGTTAAGTCAATGCCACTGAGTCATGCTTCTCTGTAGTTTGGAAAATTAATGATGTAATCTCGCATAATATCATAATGTAGCTATTCCTGATTTTGTGATCTGATGTGGTCATCTTCAATTTTTACAAGATGCCTAATTTTCACATTACAACTTTATAACCTAACCAAGTTGCAAAGTGAGGAAAGGTTACATTACAGTAATTTAACATTTGCATATTTAAAACAGTAAGGTAACATTTCCAGACTTAGCAAGTCAGACCACTTATATACTATGTAACTGTAACGCTCACTATCTTTTAACAGTTACCTTTACATTTCTTTATAAATTTTTCTAGTTAAAGTCTTTTATTTTCCTTTAAGGAAAATTTAATTTTATTATGATATAAACTTAAATGTTTACGTACCATTTTGTACAATTTTTTTCATTAATGAAATAAATCTATAGTCCCTTTAAAAAAGTGCTACAGATGGTGCAAATTAACCTTAATGCTCTGTAATCAGTCTTCCTGAATGAATGAATGACTGATAGTGATTCACTTATGTTAAGCTTGGTTTTTAGAATTTGCTCTAAGCAAGCTATAATGGAGGAAAATGCAATTTGAGTTACGTTTCTACATCTCATATTCTACTTACCTCCATTTCCTGCCTTAACCACTCTTCTAATTCTGCATTTTTTCGCCCATGATGAGCTATTAGATCTGATCCTCCAATGATATGTGGAAGTTTCCCTGCTCCAGGAAATGTGACCTGTTAAAATAATAAAAGGACGCTAAGTGCAAGTTAAGATGGCTGTGTTTTAAAAAGCTTGAAAATGGACTATAAATCAGGCACAATCTAAATGCCATAGATGCTAACATCCTATATGTGAATATAAGGGTGAGGTCCTACACGGCTAGGCTCATCTATCCTCTGCCCTAGTCTTCTCCAGCAATTACTACATTCAGATTAAGAGTTACATTCTAGAAAAAAAAATTCAAGAGTCTTAATTTGGAGTTTTCATTTTTAAAGAGTAGCCTCAATCATGTAGTAATTAAAGCAACTCAAGACTCATAATTTAAGGCACATATTTTTGGTTCTAACGATTTTAAGATTTAAGCCACACTGAGCACCATAAAAACATAACTTTTCCTCCCAAACTTGATAGATCTCTAATAAAGAGATAGTGAAGATAACAATTTGGGCTGTTGTGGGTTTTTTTAAAAAAAATTGAATTAATTAAGTGGTATATAGTACATTTAGTACTTTTTCCCCCTTCTCATATTTTTATTGGTTTGTACTAATTTAAATTGTATTTCATGCATATACATGGTGTTTTATATAATCTTTGATTTACATTGTTTTTCATTAAGGTACATGTGTTTTATATAAGTTTAAAGTATTTACAAACAGGTGGTATTAAAAAAATGATTATTTTTAAAATGCCATCAAGTACAATCTTTATATTACATTTAGAGTAAGGAGAAGGTAATAAATTATTAACATTCAAAGGACATACATTTAATATTCTAGTATGTGAAATGGAAAGATAATTTTAAATTCACTTCACCATTAAGCAATTTAGTAAAAGCATAAATAGAGCCATGTTGTTGTTTTTGAGATTTTAAAAAAGAACTTGGTTAAATACCTTCACTACAGAGACAATTCTGCCAATCCCATTTCTGTAATAGTTTTGGTTTGAATTTCTTTCATAAATGCAAAACAAATTCTCTGATCAGAAGATATAAATATTTGTGAGGGTTTTAAGTTTTTCCAAAACATGTTCCAGATGTTTCTACTACTTTATACTTCTTCAGTAGTATGACTGTACCCCTCCTATTCCAACAGAGAATATGATCATTTTTCCTTTAGTTATTTAACCAATTAAACAGAGTACATCTTTTGATATTTGACTCTTTAAGAATGAGGTTTTGGAAAGAATACTGAGCAGAAGTAAGAATGCTCCTGTATGGCTCATGAGCCACAGATGTGAAATGAAAAACTGAAAATAAAGGAGGATTCAAGAGAGAAGCATATTCATTTTCCACTCCATGTTAAAGATTCTTTGGGTCTGATTAAGCTCAGAAGCCTTTGGACATTGTCAGGAGTTGTTATGTGCCGTCGAGTCGTTTGCGACTCATAGCGACCCTATGCACAACAGCCCTAAACCCTGCTCTATCCTGCGCCAACCGCACCGCCTCTGACACACCCATCCCGATTACCCCAGTCACCGAATCAATCCATCTCATAGAGGGTCTTCCCCTCCTGCGCTGTCCCTTCACCCTCCCAAGCATGATGTCCCTCTCCAAGGACCCGTCCCTCCTGGCAACACGTTCAAAGTATGTCAGACGAAGCCCCAGAATCCTTGCCTCCAAGGAGTAGCTTGGTTTAATCCTCTCCAAGATGAATCTGTTTGTTTTCCTGGCAGTCCATGGTACATTCAGTACCCTTCTCCAGCACCACAGCTCAAAAGCATCCACTCTCCTTCTGTCCTCCCTAGTCATTGTCCAACTCTCTGATGCATAACAAGCGATTGCAAATACCATGGCCTGTATCAGGTGCACCTTAGTCCCCAGAGAGACACTGTTGCTCCTGAGTACCTTAGAGAGGTCCCTAACGGCAGACTTTCCCATCGCAATACGCTTTTTGATTTCCTGACTGCTAGTGCCAAGAATGTTGACTGTGGAGCCGAGCAAACTGAAGCTGTGAACACTCTCAATCTCTTCGCCATCCATCCTGACGCTGCCAATTGGTCCAGTGGTGAGAATCTTTGTCTTCTTGACATTGAGCCTCAGTCCATACTGAAGGCTGCAGTCCTTGACCCTTCGCAGCAAGTGCATGAGGTCCTCAGTTTCAGCAAGCAGGGTTGTGTCATCTGCATAACGCAGATTGTTAATAGATCTTCCACCACTCCTGATGCCACAATTTCCCTCATAGAGCCCAGCCTCTCGGATAATCTGCTCTGCATACATGTTGAACAGGTATGGAGACAGGATGCATCCCTGGCGTACACCCTTCCCAATTTTGAACCATGCAGTGTTACCCTGCTCTGTTCTGACTACTGCCTCTTGGTCCAAGTATAGGTTTCGTATTAGCACAATTAAATGTTCTGGGATTCCCATTCTTCTCAGAGTCAGCCACAGTTTGTTATGATCCACACAGTCAAATGCCTTTGCATAATCAATGAAACACAGATAGACATTCTTCTGGTATTCTCTGCTTTCAGCCAAGATCCATCTAACATCAGCAACAATATCCCTAAGCAGAAAACAAATCTAAATGTTGACAGTAAATGTTCCTATCAGAAAGTAAGCTATAGTATCTCACAGTCACAATAAGACTCATGCAAGCCACACTGCAGAGAAAAGCAGTCTTCTGGGAAAATCACTTGAAGAGGTTACAAAAGGATAAACAAAATGTACACCTAGCTCAGGACGATCTGTTTAATCACACCGACAAAATATTGAGCATTCCTTATTAGAAACTCAGGTCTGATGGCAGTATTTTGTGATGATATTGATATTTCATTATATGAATAGTAAATCATGTCTGTACAGTATTTCATTTAATGGGTTCAGTTATTTTTTAGCAAATTTGCTATCATCCTAAAGTCCTGAATTAAAGAACCCTGTCAGGTAGCCAGCAATCAGTATTAGAACTAGCAGAACCATGTTCTCACATACCTACATGCTTAATGCTTAAGATACAGAAAACCTGGCGAACAGCATTCTTTATTCAGTCTTCACATACTTTATTATATTCTAGGTGTAATAACTATCATATTAGGTTTTATCTTTCCTACGGTAATTTTTTAAAACATTTTAAAGCAGAAGCGTATCAACATAAATGCTTTTATTACTCTTCAGTACTAAAAACTCTCCTAACAACATTGCCCTCTTGTGATGTAAAAAGTGCTTACCTTTTTGAATTTCTTAAAATTTTTTAGCTGACCATAATCTCCATGTACACTGGATGGGTTTCTGGAGGTAGAGTTTGTAACCACCAAGGACCTGAACTCAGTCACTATCACATTCCTTGGAAGCATCTCCCCATCGTCCTGAAGCTCGTCATTGTTCTTAAAAAAAGCAAAGATAGTCAAGAAAAATTACTATTTACGAATCTAAAGAAAAAATTCAAGCACCTTGGCTGGAGGGGCACAGTTACTTAATAAAAGGACTTTATTCTAGTCTCCGAACTTTTAATTTGTACACAAGGCAAAAAACCCAACTCATTGTTGAGCTGGCTCTGATCATAATGACAGGACAGAGAATTCCAAGGCTATAAATCTCTACAGAAGCAGACTTCCACGTCGTTCTCCATGGAACAGCTGGTGGATTCAAACCACAGACTTTCTGGACATCTAAATGCTTTTAACCACTCTTCCTATTTGGAACCAAACATACAGATTTCAATACCAGAAATACTTACTCAAATGCTCAATAACTTTGAAAGTTTCTAACAAAATGATCTCTTGTAAAATGTATTTTTTTTAAACACTATGTATGCTGTTTTTTAACTAAAGCAATAGATTTTTCTACAACTTCAAATAGAAAATCAGCACTAATGATGAAACAGGGGGCTCTGGTGGCCTAGTGGTAAGAAACGGTACTCCAATCCCAAAGATACATGGTTCAGATTCACCAGCGTCTCCACAGGAGAAGGATGGGCAATCTCCTCCTGTGCAATTAACTGCCTCTGAAAACCTGCCAGAGGGTCAGTGTGGGTCAGTTCCGACACTATGGTGCACAACAACCACCACCTCTTCAACTGACAAATTATTTTTTTATTTTAGAAGATTTACTTAACTATTAAACCTGTCAAGACTACTTGCTATCATTCAAATTCAAGATGAGATTCTTTGCTTTTTGTCATTTAAAACCACTTGGTAAATTACCTATCAACATTTCTACTACAGTTGCTCAAGACTGATCCTCTTAATTCTTTTGAATGATATGATTCACACAAGGACAAAGGAAATATCAAGGAAGTCATGAACAGAAGGGAAAATGAAAAAGTCAAAAGAAAAGGGTCATCTGACAATGCAATCAGGATCTCTAACAAAATATAAAACCCAGAAATGTGAAAATCATTTGCTCAAAACACATTATTAGTAGCAGGTGTCTCACTACACTTTTTTTTACATCATGCTCTATTACCAGTTTCTGTTGTTGTGTGCCACTGAGTCAGAATCAACCCAAAGCTAAGCTACCAGCGGGTTTTCAGAGGCACTAAATTGCACAGGAGAAGTCTACCCATCCTTCTCATGTGGAGCAGCTGGCAGATTTGAACTATTTGCCTTTGAGTCTGTAGAGCAGTTTCTTACCACTAGACCACCAGCGCTCCCTTCTAATACCACAGGAAGTTCAATTATGAAACAGAACAAAACTGCAGAAAAAAGAACAGTTATAATCCCAAGGTAAGTTGACATAAATTGATGAGATTTTAGTCAAATACTTATGAAATAAACGTAAACTTTCTTACAGACAGCTTTTCTTTAGCTGACCATACTGATTCTTCTTTGATGTTACATTTCTTCTTGATTTCACTCTCTGGCTAGAGAAATAAAAGTATTTGTTTGTTAAAATATGAAGATAGCCATTTAGAGAACCTTAGATACTCTCATTATCTTTGACCCAGTGATTTGACTTTTATATATCACTCCCAAATAAATTAACAGCAATGAAAAGCATATGTACAAGAGACATCAGAGCATGAATTATTAGACACAATCCAATCTATTTAAAAAAATATGTAGTGGATGATCATGATAAAAAAATGGCCTCCAAACTGCATTAACAGATGATTCCAAATTTGCAAAGTAAGATTTTTTAAAAATATAAAATTATGAAGTCTGTGAAAGTGAACATAAAGCCAAATATCATCTATTTAAGGTTAAAATAGGAGAAGAATCCAGCTAGTACAGAGCTCTGGTGGCTCAGTGGATAACGAGTTGCACTGTCAATCCAAAGGCATATGGTTTGAATCCACCAGGTGCTGCAAGGGAAAAAAATGGACAATTTTCTCCTGCGATACACTGACTCTGCAAGCCTGATGGAGGCTCATGTATGAGTCAGTTCCAAGACAGCAATGAGAGAGTGAGTCATCCAGCCAATAGTATTCTAAGGGTTTTAGTTATTTCAGCTTAAGAGGAAACAGATCTAAACCCAGTAAAAATGGTAGTAATATCAGAAACATATTTTGGAGACTGCTTTTCACAAATTTAAAAATGTAGCCGTAAAGAGAAGCATCACATATTTGCTTTTTAAAAAGAAAATTTAAAAAAATAAGGAATTTTTTCTGATAATCTTTTCTATACTTAGAAAAATGAGGTGTAGTTCCTTTACTTTATGAGTATGCACAAGGACTTCCAGAAAACAAATTCTTAAAATGATAAAAGTAAAGAATCAAACTAATTTCATATTGTCTGAGTAAGAGTGATATTACTACAGTCAAATCCTTGGGTTATTATAAGATACTGGAGATACGCAAGATGTTATAATTGAGGAAGAAGGTATATGAGACTTCACTGTATATTCTTACAGCTAGAAGTGAATCAACAATTACCTCAAAATAAGGATTTTAAAAAATATAGTTTCAAATGGAAGAGAAACAACTGTCAAGATTTCTTACTAAAACAATTTTGTCATAGAATAAAATTATTTACATTTTATTATATTCAACAAGGTATCATAATAAAATACATGCTCTAAATGTCTCATTCACTCATTGCCTTTAAAATGGAACCAATGCACAGCTGACCCTCCAGTGGGCTTTCAGAGGCTGTAAACTGCATGGGAGAATATTACCCATCTTTCTCTCACAGAGCAGCATGTGGACTCAAATTGTCTGCGTTTCGAGTTGACAGTGTAAATCCCTCTCCACTAGGTAGATGACCAGTGTTCTCTACTAAATGTCTAATACTAAACATATTCATTTTATACTATAGGCTTTTATTTTGAAAATCGTTAACTCCTAAAATAATAAAATACAGGTGAAAGAAATTATGCTATGCAACAGTTCCTTACATGATTATATAACATGTCAACAAAAACTGGATGGCAAATGACAGGTCTTTTCTGAAAGACCGATGGCTCTGATATCACAGGTATAGTGTGCTTAATTTTCATCTTTCCCAGTCTGGGATCTAACGTCCATATCCTTCCGTGACATGAGGTCTGGGGAAATGTGCTAGGAAAGTTAAGATTCAGGAATATAATTAGCAGCCACACAGGATGGACTAGAGTTCTCTGACTAACAAAACAACTGCATTCCAGACAAAGATGACCCTATGAGCAGTGGAACAATGTGTGATAGAACATAAAGGAAAAGTAAAGGCTGTAAAAGAATAAAGTATGTGTTAAGACAAGACTAGAGAAATAAAAGAAGAAAGGAAATGTAAGAAGTAGAGGAGAGAGTGCCACAGAGGGAATGGACAAATAAAGATACACCCAAAATAATGCACTATCAATAGGACCTATCTTCCTAAAAATTGAACATAACTGAGCACATCATAAACTGTTTTGGAGCTAAAGTGACACTTTATAAAGTAGAAGAAAAATATCTTTATAAGGACACATGCATTAAACCTAGTAAATCATTCCTTGGGCTTCACCAAATATCACATTAATTTATCCACCTCTACCCAAAGTCCCTTCCTCTTGCCTTTTCCTCCCTGGAAAGTAGACTTGATGTCTGAATGAGGGGCCTCCTCAAAGACCCAACACAGATGACCAAGAAATCAATTTTAATAAGAAAGAGAAAACCTAGCATGCTTTGATTCATGATATTCCATGTATAGTAAGAGCAGTACAATGTCCATGGGCTGATTTTTGGAAGTAGATGATCAGGACTTTCTTCTCAGGTACCTATAGGAAGAAGTGAACCTCTAACTTCTAATCTTTCTATTATGAGCTGTGCAAGTTAACCAGTTACACCATTTAAAAACCTGAAAGTTAGGAAATGAGTAGAGATGACAAATGAAGAATCAGTGCCTTTGAACTGTGGAGTTGGAGAAGAATATTGAATATCCCATGGATTGCCAAAAGAGGAACCCAATGAGGGCGAAGTTTCATCTTACATATTTCAGGATGCTGTTAGGAGGGGCTAGGCTAGTCCCTGGAAAAAGACATCATGCTTGGTAAGGTCATCGGAAGGGGAGAAAACTCTCAAGATGATATATTGGCACAGTGACTCTACCAATGGACTCAAGTAGACTGGAGATGATGAGGATGGCTCAGGACAGAGTAGATGACAGATGTGCTCTTCAGTGGGTCCCTGTAATCCATGGCCAACTTGACGGCACATAAGAACACAAGATTGACAGGAAGCTGGGCTAGTCCTGATTTTACCTTTAAAATATAGCTTGACAGCACCTAACAAGAATTATTTCTGGAAACTGGTACCATGGAACTACCCACTACTAGGCTGCTTTTATAGGAGAAAAAAGAACCTATTTCATTGAAATCACTTTTTCTAAAGACATTTAAAGAAACAGAATAAGTAAATTTTTTTTCTAGGCAGAAATTCAGTACTGAATCTAGATCTGTGGAGCTTTGGCCTAAGAATCCATATTTCTAGATCTGTGGAGCTTTGGCCTAAGAATCCGTATTTCCAGAAAGCTCAGTAGGTGACTCTAGTTTACAAAAAAAGGATTTATAATTTATTCATAAAAGCAAACAATGATGCACTGCAATCCCAGAGGCGCACAGTTCGAATCCACCAGATGCTCTGCTGGGGAAGGAGGGACAATCTCCTCCTGTACCACTCAGATCTGATTTGACGGTACACGCACACACACACAAATAAAATTAAAAAAAAAGCAAACGATGAGAATGTTCTTCTTTTATGAAAAGCCAAATAGGTATAGGTACACATGTAATGTACACGTGTGTGTGTGTGTGTGTGTGTGTGTGTGTGTGTGTGTGTGCACGCGCGTGCGCGCACAGGTATATAATTTGTATTTGAACAGTGATTACAGACTTCTATGGGGGAAGGTGTGGTTCAGTGGTAGAATTCTTACTTTCTGTCTGGGTTTGATTTCTGATCAGTGCAACTAAAGAGCAAATGGAGACTTGAGCATTGCTATAAGGCTTGCCAGTTTTCAGCAGAGCTTCCAGACTCAGACAAAACAAAAAGAAAAGTCTGGTGATCTACTTTAAAAAATCAGCCAATCAAAACTACAACTTACTTGCGGACTGTGGTCCAACTCAGTTGTGCAGGGAATCCCATGAATTGAAGGCTGATTTGATGGCAGTTATCAACCACAGTAAAAACCCACAAGACTGAGTATTTCTTACATAACTGGCTTTCAACAAATGCTTATCGAAATAACTGCAACTCCTAATCACATAATCCTTACCATTTCACTTAACTTTGTCTCCATCCGGTAACTGTCTGTAAAGAGGGGGTGCTCACTGACAAGAAAGAGCCAAAATTCAGGTAGGAGATCAGAATATGAAATTCTGATTCCTCATATTTGTGTTCTCAAGTTAATGAACTTACCAGTGAATATATGGTATTACCTTTCTAATATGCAAAATGGTATTTCTAGAGGTTTTTTTAAAACCAAAGTGTTTAAAAAAAAGCATCAACACTTATGAAGACAAAAAAAGATATTAAAAATTAAAACAAAAATTCCTAATATTGGGAACTCTGGTGGCCTAATGGTAAGAAGCTGTACTGCAATTCCAAAGGTACACAGTTCAAATCCTCTAGCTATTCTTCAGTAGAAGGATGGGCTTGGAGAGTCAGCTATAGGTTGGTTCTGACTTGAAGGCACATGACAACTGTAATATTAGGAAGCTCAGGTGGCCTACTGGGTAAGAAGTTGTGCTATCAACCCAAAGACAGGCAGCTCAAATCCATCAGATGCTCTGCGTGATGGTGGAGAAAGATGGACAATCTCCTGCTAGATAAATCACAGCCTGTGAAAGCCAATGGAGAGTCTGCTGTGAGTTGTCTCCGACTGTATGGCAATGAATGAATGATAATACAAATATTTTATTCTGAAATTTAGAAAACACTTTAATAACTTTCTTCAGCCTTTTTTCCACCTGCTTACTCTGTTAAGGGATCTCTTATATATCATGGCAAAATTATGGCCATATCTCTGATATAATTCTATAGTCTAATCTAGATAAAAACAATCATATATGAGCTTTATTTCTTTTAGGCTGTTTAAGATTTTTACCTCATTGAAAAAAAAATTTATACTTATGAGTTTTGAAGATAGGGATTTTTTTTCAAGTATTCATAATGAATGCCCATACTGTCAACACAAAGTCTAAATAAAGTATTTAGCATTCAGAGTTGGGTATTTCTTTTGCAAGAACTCTCAGTAAAAATGTTACTCACAGGTATTTTGTTATTGTCTGGAAGTGTGTCATCATTAAAACCACCATCTGATTCTTTAATCAGCCTTGGTTTTTTCCTGACATTGATGTCTTTCTCTTGTTTTTTAACACTCAATTCAATTTCCAGCTCTGGTTCTGTGTTCCTGAGTAACTCTTCTAATACTTTATCTTCTAGTTCTAAATCATCAGTCTGTTTTCTTTTTTTTGATATTAGTTTTTCTGCAGGAAGAGACTGATTGGTGTTTTTCATACTAGATTTTAAATCTGTAAATAAATTCTCTGATGTTTTGTCCACAGGTTCGCTCTGAGACAGATGCTGTTCCTTATTTTTCCATGTTGAGAGTGTAGTTGGTTGTGTTTGCTCCAAAAGAGAACAAGACATTTCCATTCTTGCTGATTTGGATGAAGGTGTTTCTTGATTTTCTTCATCTCTTTCCCTTAAGTTTCAAAAAAAGGAAAGAAGAAAACAAAACCAGAAAATATAACCAGTAATGTGATTTCAAAACTTGGCAAGCTTTTCTTACACCTATATAATTCAGAAAGACTCTTGATTTTTTTAATTCATTCTATCACTGCAAACCAACATACTTTTTTTTTACATAAAGATAATTAACAATGAAAATCTACAATCTGATTGGATTCATCATCCCTGCAGCTGAAACAATATGGAGATTTCTATTTTCTCTGCATTATCTGACAAAGCAACACAGAGAAAAAGGCTTTATAAAAATACAAAGGATCTGTTGCCAGGAGACAGGAGCTACTCTATAATATAAGAAACTGGTGGGCAGGGACCACTTCCCGAGGGAACATAACCTGAGGAGTTAATGAGGGCTAGATTCAGGATAACAAATCAGTGTGGCTAAATCCACAATATGCTACAGATTATACACTGCAAATAACACGTGAATAAAGTGACCTCGTGCTTTCTAGATAATATCGTATCATCCATTCTACAAATATTGTTTATGAATTTTATTAGTCAATAGAGGATTTAAAGACTGCTCTCTGGAAGGTTACTAGATTCATGATTGCTATTTTAATAACAAGCAATCTAATGCAAGAGCCCTAGAGTTGCCAACAGTTAAGCTTTTGGTTGTTAAGGTGATAGTGTGAACACATCCAGGCCAGTGGGATAAAGACCTAGTGATTTGTTCACATAAACAATACAAACCAAAGACCCCTCTAGGGAAGTTCCTCTCCAACATACTGGGATACTCTAAGTCAAAACTGACTCCACACTCCCTAATAACAGCAATCTAATATCAAGGCGCAGTCTGGACAGAAGACAGAATGCTGAAGAGGTTTTGTAATAATTTAGTTGGTCAGACTTTCAACCAGGAACCTAGCAACAGAAAAAGCTGAAATTTATATAGCCTTGACAATCAAAACCAACACTATTCATCTGAGGGCACAAAGGAGAAAGAAAAGTAATGATAAGGTGAACCACTAATAAGCAAAAACCCAAGCAGTAAGAGGAAGAAAAAGAGGGTATAGGCAAATTAGTTAGGAAAATAGCAGGAACTTCCTGGAGAAAAGCAGATGAAAAATTTAAAGGAGGAGTTAGTATTAAGGATATTGGTCATCTGTAATAAGGTCATGACACTCTCACAGGAGAGAATGCAAAGTATAAAGAACATTAGAGGAGGGAAGAGAAAGACTTACAAGGAATAAAGAGGAAAGTCAGAGATAAGGAACTACCATCACAAAATCCAAGGGAGGAAACGAGATGGTTTGGGAGACTGAATGGTATCAAATGTCTTGAGTCAGTAATTACAATATCAACAATGGAACCTTGAGATAAAATATTCTGTTATGAAATTGTTCGTACAGAACATACAATAATAATACAACTTTTTTTAGAAGTTCAAGACTTACTGTAAAGAAAGAAAATGTAATAATTAAAGGAAAAAATCAGGTCTGGGAACAGTTTTACATAATAAAGAGGAGACTGAATATTTGAAAATGGGGGAAAGGCCTAGAATATGCTAAAAAAGAAAAAATTATAAAAAATATCAACAAAACGTAATTTGAGAGGATATAAGGCTATCTAGGGAAGGGAGCTCTGGTCACCTAGCGGCAAGAAGCTGTGCTGCAATCCTGAATCCCCCAGATGCCCTGCGGGAGGAGGGGCAATCTCCTCCTGTGCCAGTCAGATCTGAGTCAATAGTACACAATAAGGAAAAAAAAAAGAGTTAAAAAAGTCATTTTGGAAATTAGGTGAAGGAAGGAAAGCCTTTCTTCAATTTTGCTGTTGTGTACCACTGAGTCAAAACTGACCCTCCAGCAGGATTTCAGAGGCAGTTAATCGTACAGGGTGAGATTTCCCATTCTTCCGTGGAGCAGCTGGTGGATTTGAACCATGTGCCTTTGGGACTGCAGCACTATTTCTTACCACTCAGGTAACATAATAAGAAGTACAGCAAACAAAGCAACAGACAAGAATAAAGTATAGAGAAAAAGAGGAGAGAAACCCCATCTAATGACTGGAGAAGGAAATGAGGTCAAAAGGCCATAGCTTTCCACAGAAGCTTAAAAATGAGAACACAGACTAAAGCCAGTACCATTCTAGAGTAACAGAAAACATTAACATTTTTCAGACTCAAGAGGAAAATTATGAAAAACATACCTTTTTTTGGTTGTAGGCTGAAAGTAGTTTTTGATTGAGTTGGTCTGCTGCTGCTGAGAAGCCCGGTCTCTACTTTTACTCACACCTGGGGATTTAGTTGGTGAAAGCTGACAGTGTGGGGTTTTCATCTTACTCAGGGTATTTGAGACTTTATTCTTGTAATAGCTGGGTTTGGCGGGGTCCTTTACAGTGGACATTTCTTGTGAAAGCATTCCAAATTTTTGCTCTGTCCTGGAGATTCTGATTTCATTTGGCCTTTCGCTAAAATCCATACTGTGGCAAAAGACAAGAATGCAAGGGAAACAACCTGTGCCATAGCAGCTTTTACCTAAAGTCAAAGTGCTTTAAACACTTTCATGTTATGTAGTTTTAGAAGATATATATCTTTAGACAGTATTCAATGAATTTATTTTACCATAGCTCCTTTGTCATTGAAGACCCTTGACGATAATACCTTACTCTTTTTCATCCCTCACAGCACACTCTGCCAGGCTTGCTCCACTATGAAGAACCACCACGCACTCATGAACATCAACTGAGTACATGTTATTAGAACGTGAACTGGTTATGTAGTTTGTTGTTCAGACAACAGATGTGAACCCGGCTCTACCCTGTGCCATCCTCACAGTCTCTAATATGCCACAGTCCACTGTAACCAGGTTGTTGTTGTGTGCCATACAGGAATGGTTAATTTGTGTGTGTTGAACAAATATTAATATTTCCATGCAAAAGTACTATAAAAAGGAAACTTTTAAAAATCAGAGGGAAAAAAAGCAATCACTCCAGTATAATTTATAATGGGTAGTTAAATCACTTGGGATACTTTTTTATGTTATATTCCATCCAGGTAGTAGTCCTTAGAATAAGATAAAACACCAGACTATGAATAGTTCTACAGGCTATTGCTGGGAAAAGACTATATTTGCTATTCTTGTTTAAAAAAACAACCACCAAAAATCCCACAGAGTGAAAATGCCGCCATTCATGTGACTTCAAAACAATAGTATTTCTTTAAAAGATTACATCTGTTGGCTTCAGTATAAAACTAGGTAGACATGTCCAAAAACTTCTCCAACAGGATAAAAAAGGGAAGCCACAGACTGGGAAAAAATATTTGGTAATGACATGCCTGACAAGTGACTTATATCTAGAATTTATAAAATACTCGAGCACCACAAAAAGATAAAATAACCCAACTGAAAAATGAGCACAGGATATGAATAGACACTTCACCAAAGAAGACATTCAGATGGTAAACACATGAAGAAATAGTCAAGAGAGATGCAAATCAAAACAACTATGAGATATCATCTCACCCCAGTAAGAATAGCAAAATTTAACAGAACAGCAAACATCAAATGCTGGCAAGGTTGTGGAGAAACTGGAACCCTTATTCACTGTTGATGGAAGTGTAAAATGGTGCAAACACTATGGAAGGCTGCATGGCACTTTCTCAAAAAGTTGCAAATGGAAATACCATTTGACCCAGCAATTCCTAAAGAAACCATAAACACCACCCAAGCAGATCCATGCATACCCATGTTTACTGCAGCTTTGTTCATAATAGCAAAGAGCTTGAAAAAACCCAAGTGCCCATCAATAAACGAATGGACAGAGAAGCTCTGGTATATTCACACAATGGAATACTATGCAGCATTGAAAAACAAGGAACTCATGAAATATTATGCAAAATGGATGACCCTGGAGGATGTTATGCTGAATGAAATATCTCAATCACAAAAGGACAAATATTGCATAGGGCCACTATTGTAAAACGGGACTGACATCAGAGTTGAGGGAAGACAGAAAAGGAGAGAAGGAATGATGTATATTGCACTTAAACACATGAGGGGAAGAACTGTTTAAAAGGGATATGTGAATAGGTATTCTTGTCATTACAGAAGTCCAGAGTGAAGGATTCATAGTGGAGTGGACTTGGGGGGAGGGATTGCATAACAATAAAAGAGTTTTTCTTTTTCTTTTCAAGGAGAAGAGTGAATTGTGGGGGAGGGGGTGGGCAGGGAGAAAAGTGCAACAACGAATGACTGGAAACCCTAAGTCTCTGTAAACTTTCATTAAAATTAATAAAAATTTTAAAAAACTAGGTAGAATAAAACTTATATATGGTCTCATATAATTAGTTCAAAGGTCTATTTCACTATGAACACAATGAAGTTTAAAATAAAAGCTACCACAGAATATTCTCCTCTTTGAAGAGTATCTTCTGCAAATAGACAAGCACCAATAAACTACCCTCATAAATAAATATTAACTATTTAGACAGATGACACACATAAAGCATCTCCAAAATTAAGCACAATATTCAAATAGAGTCAACAGAATACAAATTTGTTTCTAATTTATTGGTATTAATTATTTACTAGTTATAAAATAGTATAATTCTTTAATATGTTGTATGTGCATTTACACAGAATGAAAAACACAAATCAGAACAAAAATTAACTTTATCTTGAGACAGAGACTGGCAAGAGAGGCAACCAATGCAGGCCAAATTCTGCCACCACCTGTTTTTGCAAATAAAGATTTATTTGAACATAGCTATACTTATTCATCTGTGAATTGTCTATACGGCTGCTTTAATGTCATAATGACAAAACTAAGTAGCTGCAACCGAAACTGAACAGCTTGGCAAGCTGAAAAATATTTACTTTCTGGTCCCTTACAGAATAACTGGCTGACCTCTATTTTAAAATATTCTTTCTCAGAAACCTGTTCTATACTTTCTCTCCCAAGAGAAGTACTGATCAATGAACTTAATTTACTTCTTGAAGATACTCTTAATGTATTGCCAAATAATAACAATAGTTTATTAACAAAGAAACTTTACCATGTGTCAGCTGGCTCCGATTCTGTGCCAGCTACATATGTTGTGGCGTTCACTGGGACAGTTGGCATTAGTCTTTCACTGAATGATGAGCCTTGGGAAAGGCTTGGACCTGGAGTGGTTGGCTTTAATCCTGTAAATCACACAAGTGAAAAGAATCACGACTGCTAGAAACAAAATGGACATCTGGTCATTTAAAATTATTAGACTGTGCCATATTGAGGCAATTAAAGAGGTAATACAACACACATTTAGTTTTGGTCAATGGAGCCATCAATGAAATAGTCCATGACTTCCTGTTGGCATCTATGAGATTTACTCAAACCAAGTTATTTTAAAGCTATTTCAAATATTCTGCAGTGAAAATACCAACTTAAAAAGAACTAAAAAAATGCCAACAATGATTTTTTTTAAAAGCGAATTGTTGGGGTTAGGGAGGAAAATGTGCAACAATGAATTAATGAAAAAAATTAACTTTTCTCTAAACTTTTGTTAAAATCACAATTTTTTTAAAGAACTAAAAGAACATTATGCTGAATAAACTAACTCAGTCTCATGAGGACAAACATTGCATAGGACCATAAATGTAAAAATAGATAACTATAAGATGCGTCTAAGTATGGGGTGTCAGAATCCTTGAAAACTGGCTTTCCTAGCCATTGTATTAGCCCCCATTGGAGGCATTGTCTCCAGCTCAGCTACAATAACTGTGGACATACAGTTTTGCAAATCATCAACATCTGTGGGACCAATATAAAGGAATGCTTTCCACATTATGAGGGGGACTGTGAAGACACTATGAAAGACAGTGATGGAAAGACTGTGAAGAAACTGGCAATGACTGTGAAGAGACTGTGGCACAACTGTGAAGTAACTGTGGCAAGGTGTAACCAGAGGAACCCTGGAGGTGGAGCTACAGTTAAAGGTTGTGCTTGCTAGATGGCTGAAGAAAAAGCTGACTCGTAAATTACTCTGAGATCAAGTGTGCTAGACAACTGAGGAAACCAGAAGCTTCTTGCATTTGTGCTGCTGAAATGAAATCTAGACTTCCACTAATGGAGGAACTGTGTCTAGCTGTTAATCTAGTTTGGGACTGTTGCTCTAAATCTGGCTGGGCTTGTATTGGTGATATTTTTTGCCTGCCTTACTCCCCAACCCATCTCCCTAATAAACTTCACAAAAGTGAGTAAAGTCTGTGAGTCAATTTGCAATGAATACTGAATCCAGTGATTGACATAAAAAGATACAGGAGCATATAAGGTGGCGTGTCTGGCCACGGTAGCTATTTATATGGTATTAGCACTGGTGGCCTAGTGGCAAGAACCTGCACTGCAATCCTAAAGACACAATTTGAATCCACCAGGAGCTCTAAGGGAGAAGGATGAGCAATCTCCTGCAGTGTGATTAAATGCCTCTGAAAACCCACCAAAGGCTCAGCTATGGGCTGGCTCCATCTTGATGGTACATAACAATATGGACATTATTGATGGGGACAGTTCTCATTTATGAATCTGGTAAAAGTTAAGAGACTCAGCCTTCCCACATTAAATCTACTTCTTTTAAAAGTTACCAAAAGGAAAAGGCTTTGAAAGAGGGAATGGGACAGGAAGAAAGGGAAGGGTGAAATCACCAGGAAAACTGAGTTTAGTGGGAAGACTCTGGGGATGGGGTGAAGAAATGGGAAAGATTCAATGGGGACTTGAAGGGACAGTGTAATAACAGGCACAGAGCAATAGTAATTAGTTATATAAAATCAACTGATATGAATGTAGAAAATATACTATAAATGAAAGTGTAAAACACTGTATATGAATGAACACAATGTAAAAGAATGCATTAAAAAAGGAGGGGGGCAGGAAGTAAAGAAACGGAGGAGAGATGATCACTGGGAAGGTGGAGGTGTGGGGGAGGCCGGGGGTTAAGTGGGGTGTTGAGAAGACAGTGTGATAACAGACATGGATAAGTGGTAGTTAAATACAGTGTGTATGAAGGATTGTGTGGGGCGCAATGTGCATGAATAAAGCACAGTGTGTATGGGGAGTTATATATAAATCAATTTTTAAAAAGCAGAGATATAAAAATGTACAATATAAATGAATATTGGATAATGTAGAATCAGAAAGTGTGTAATTCCACCTTTGGATTTTTAATTTTTTTTTTTTCTTATGAATGCAGATGCTCAAAGTTTCCAAGTTGAACAGAAGGTCCTTAGGCAAAAAGGACATGCTAATTCTCCCAGAGCACTGGTTTGATAGGGACGGGCATATCAAAAATTGGCTGTCTCAAAGGGGGATATTAAAGGTATAAGACATGAAGTAGCTGTTTTATAGGCTTTCACAAATGTTGTTATTAGTAAGATGATTGTAAGGGGTGGAAGTCCACAACATACATGAATGAGATATCAAGTAAATGAAAGATTATATGGATGAAACACAATGATATATGAATGATAAAAACATTAATAAAAAAGAAAATGAACTCAAATTCTAATTGAAGTTATGCTTTAAGTCAATCTAAACAATTCAAATTTCTCCTTACACAGTTATCTTTACATAAGGATCTAGACAAATGAGAATAAATGTGAATTGTATTCTTAGAAGGAGTATGAATTTAAAAGTTTTAGATATTATTCTTGGCTACTCCAGAATCTCCTATGACACTTGACTCTCTTACACAGAATTAAGTCCTCCCACTTCTGCTCCCATACTACCTTGCTTCATATTCTATGAACACATACATCACTACTGAAGTCCCTAGATAAGACATTCAGTCTCTCTACATCTCATTTTCTTCATCTGTAAAATAGTGGCAATTAGCATACCTTTCTCACAGGGTTAGTTTGAGGAAACAATGAATTAATATATATGGTGGGTGGGTATGTGCATGCGCACATGTACATGGCCAATCCCGGACTTGTGGAAATCCCACATATCACAGAGTAGAAGAACTGCCTTAGACAGTTTTCTTGGGCAGAATCTTTCTGAAAGTGGCTCACTACCCTTCTTCTGGGAGCTGCTGGGTGGGTCTGACCACCACCTTTCCGTTAGTTATCAATGACAAACTACTGGTCCCACTCAAAGCACTTAGCCAGTGCTCATTACCTGTAAGTGCTCTGCAAGTGGTGGGTGCTCTTGTTAGCCTCACTTTATGTTACACTCGCTTCCTTTCCCTTATTAAACTGGTATCTGCTTGAAAAGGATGGAATCCCATTCATTTGTATACTCTCAGTGTCTCCAGCAATGGCAGGTACTTAAGAAAGTTAAGTAAATTAATGGGATTCAATTACTAAAGTGATAAAAAGTTTAAAAGTTGACATTCACTTAGCACTTAAGCTAAATTACCACTGTTAGGTTTTCATGACCCAAATTGTGCTGAAATGATGTTGACTCCAAATTTAAGTACTTAAAATTAATTCTACCACTTTCCTTATATGGCCTCCTTGAAAGATTACTGGGGTCTCCTAGGGATTACTGGTGGCCTAGCGGCAAGAAGCTGTACTACAATCCCAGAGGTACTCGGTTCGAATCCACCAGATGTTCTGCTGGAGAAGGAGGGGCAATCTCCTCTTGTACCTGTCAGATCCAATTTGACGCTACACACATACAAAATAATAAAATAATTTTTAAAAAAAAAAAGTTTACTGGGGTCCTGAAGACAAATATCCTTAGTGTTCATTTCAGCTTACACAGAGATTTACAAATAAATAGTACTAAAAGAAGTGTACAGAGTCAAATGTAATGACTCAGAATAACTACATTTGTTAACAGGATTACTATTACCTTTAATGTTCACCTTAATAAAAATACCATGAGATTAGGGATTTGGTTGGATCTGCTCTCTTCTTTAATCATTGAGTACAGCCATATGCATCCAATAAAACTTCAATAAATATTCGTTGAACAAATACATGCATGACTATGGAAAAAAAGGCTTGGGAGATAGCAAGGGAGAGGGGAGACGGAAGATATATACTCAAGTCTATTTGTAAGTCAGAGATCTATAACCTGGAATCAATATGCTGTTGTTGTTAAGTGCCATCGAGTCGCAGGCGACTCATAGTGACCCTATGAAGGAGAGTCCTCGACGCCTGGGTGCCTTTCATCCTCTCTCCAGGTTCATAGGGTTTCCGGAGGCAAGCTATTATGGAAGTGGATGCCACTCCTTCTTCCAGGAACCCATATAGATCTATGAAATCTATTATTCATAGTAGAATCTAACTCATATTACCTATGAATATGTACAAGAAGTAATATTAATTATAATGTCTATTTCTACTCACCATTCAAGATCTTGTTTCCACAGGAAAATACACAACATAAAAATAACTGACTTGAGACTCAGAAAACCTGGATTTTAGAACTAGCTCAGCCCTAAAGTAGTTATGAGACTTAAATGCCTGACAAACACACATTTGTTCACAGTAAGTCTGAATACTTGTTTAACGGAACCAAGTTCTAGTGCACAGAATTTTCTTTGCCAGTGGGGAATGACTAAAATGCTGCTTCTGTTAATATTACCCCTCCCTAGTTTTCTTTATCAAAACATTCTAACGTGATGTTTCTTTGAAGAATTTGCAAGAGAAACATGATATTAAAATCAAACAAAATGAGCAATAATCCTAAAATGCCTAAACACATCACAGAATATTCTATACTGAGAAAAATGAGGAATTATACTAGAAAGGAAGCATAAACCTAGGTGAGAACTAGGTTTCAAAACAGGGAAACAAAGGATCTAAAGGGGAACTGGGATAGTAAAGCACTACAGACTTAGGCTCAACAACTGCTTGTTTTATAAGGGTCTGCTGTTGCGATTAAATACTGACATTTTTTCTTTGCCAAAATAGAAATCCACTATGAACAAAATAGCACAGAGTTACATGCCATTTTTAAGTTTTGGCAAATTTTTAATGGGTATTGGAGAAGCTTCTCCGAGAATACTGCTCTCTTCTGGTGTCCACAGTAAAGTCTTGGTCTCTATAAGGCTGCAGAGTTGGTCATCAGTTTCTGACTAGGCTCCATTTTGAGATTATTAGTCATAGATTTCTGGGAAGTATTCATCATAACACAAACTCGCCAAAATACTTATGTGGCTACTTATAAACCTTCATAAACAATAAGTCTGGATTTGAAGGTTATCTATGCCTAGACACAAACATACCAAATGTACTCAGTGGGAAGAGACACAGGTAACAAATGAATAAATATCTTAATCCAAATTATATCCTAGACTATCAATTATTTATCAGCTTTCCTCCTGTATCTATTGCCAGTCATCCCCATATCATCAATTCTCAAGTATACACACAAAAACATAAGACATCTGCACTGTGGTATAATCATATCCTAATAGTGTGAGTTTAAGGGTCAGGTGGAATCAACTGGTTGCTATATGATTTTGGGCAAAATTCTCAATGTCCCTTTATCTTAATTTTCTGATTTATAAAATACAGATGATGTCATCTATTATAAAAGGACTCTTTTCTAAAAAAAACCATTTACTCCAATCCCTCCACAACCAAAAGATATCTGCTATGAACTATTATTATTAATAATCATTATTCATGACTTACAGGGACGTCAGTGGTCTAACAGTAAGAAGCTGCACTGCAATCCTAAAAGTATGGGCTTCAAATTCACCAGTTTTTCTGTGGGAGAAAGATGGTAATTCTCCTGAAAGCCCGCTGGAGGGTCAGCTGGTGGTTGGTTCTGATGCCATGGTACACAATTACTTACATTGTTAACCAATCCCTAAGGAGGCCCTGATGGTTTAGTTTTTCCAAAATCTAATTTCATACAGTCACTACATACTTAAATCCAGGGCACAGTGCCAAACTCCACAGACTTCTTCTAAAGGATATAACACGAAAGCTATTCTCTAGAGTGTAAATTAAATCAATGACAAAAATCACTACAGAACAAACCTAGAAAGCAAGTAAATATTTATAGAAATACAGAATGGTTGCTTTTGAGAGGTAGGCAAAGAAAAGGCTTACCGATGAGAGTAAATGTAAAAATCTGTATAGTAAAAAAGCAAAATGACAAGAATAAAAGAACCAGCTTTTGAGGTAAGACGATGCTTATTTTCAAAAAAGTTACAGGAGTATTTCCTAAACAACAAAGAGGTACAGGGAAACTGACTTTCCTGACAGTAGCTAACAAACTGTGAGTGACTGTAATAAGCATTCTTCATTTCAGTAAGCTGCATCACCATTTACCTACTTACTCCATGGCAAAAAGAGAGTTCTGATTCTTCTGCAGCCACTTTCTGCTGGGTGTGAGTTCCAAAACTGATCCTGAATCTGTTTCTTTTTCTGTACATGTACTCCTACCACTCTGGTCCAAGACACTAGGCACTCTCACTGGTGTCTTTACTTCCATAGGCCTCTGCAGGTGATTGCTAACCTAAAGGTCAGGGGATTGAACTCACTCAGCAGTATTTGGAAATAAAGGACTCGTGAACTGCTTCATAAAGATTACAGCCTCTTAAGAAAAACCCACAGAACAGTTCTATTCCATCATACACGAGGTCACACAAAAGCCAGAGCGACCACCTACTCTTTCTATCCCAGATCCTCACCTGTGTTCCTCATTCTGATCATTCAAGACCACAGGAAGCTTTACTGTCACATCCTCAGTGAGATCACTCCCATCCTCTACCTAAAATAAACAGCCTAATCTCCATGGCCAAAATCATCATGTGTGCAAGCTTACTATCTAAATAGAATATAAAACCCACAACAGCAGGGACTTTATCTGATCAGTACTGTGTCTGCAACGCTTTGAACAGTAACTGGTACATGTTTGCTATTAAGTCAGAAGTGACTCACAGCTGACCCTCCAGAGTGTATGGAGAGACTGTAAGTCAGACGAGAGGAGTGTGCCCATCTTTCATCTGTGGAGCAGCTGATGTCTCTGAACCACATGCCTTTGGTTTGGGAGAATTCCCCATCACTAAGCCACCAGAGGTCCCTTACAATATAAAGCACAAGGGGCCTTGTTCATATGTCAGTACTGTAACACTGAGAACAATGCCTGATACCTGTTGCTGTTATATACTGCTGAGTTGGAAAGGACCTGTAATTGACCCTCCAGAGGATTTTCAAGGCAGAAATCACACAGAAACTGACTGCTCATCTTTCTCCCACAGAGCAGCTGATGGATTTGAACCACATACTCTGGCACAATTCCTTACCACTAAGCCTTCAGAACTTCCCATGTGGTGCAAAGCAGCCCTAAATATTTATTTAATAATCAAATAGTTACATACTAAAAGATGTTGAATATGGTCACTCCAAGCAAGAGTAAAGTGCACAGTACAGCCTATAGTCTGTTGGGGAATGTCAGGGAGAAAGGGAGGACCTGTGGCCAGGACAGATTGCCTAGCTCTGGATAAGTGCAAGCCTCCCAATGGCCTTTAATACAGAGTAGAGAAAGCTCCCCTGTGTTTGGCTGTACTGGCTTAAGAAAGCTTGCCACCTGGGAAGACGGCTATCGCATCTGCTGAGCTGGGAGTAGTCCTCATGAGGCTGAGGTTCTCCTATCCAATCAGCATGTCCCACATCTGTAAGCCCACCTATCCTGTCTCCCTGTTTACTTGCTCGTATATAAGTGCACTGCAGCCCGCAATAAAATTGAGATGGACTGACTCTCGGAACGGCTCCCAGAGTGGTGTTCCATCGTGCATATCCCCATCAGGGTGTTGCTGTTTGTTGCCAGTGAACGGACAGCGACAACAGTAGATTTACACAGCAAAGGTACTTTAGAATTAGTAAAATAATGTTACAATTACCTATAGCAGGCTGGCCCTGAGGATCACAGTAATTCTCTGTAGTCATGAAAATAACTGCCAGTCCAATTTCTGATTCAGGAATGGGTCTAAGACCCTGCCTATTAGAATAAGATAATGTCAGTATAACAGCATTTTAAAGTTAACAACTTTAATTAGTACAATCCAGCTGAATCAACCTTACCCCATCACAAAGAGTTACCACAAAACTCATAATGTGAAGAGTTTCAGATACAAGAGAACAGGTGTTAATCTGACAGCCTTTCCAAAACCATAGAATTACTAAAGACTACAGAACTAAATGTTACCTCATGATCAGGGATCAAGTTCTGAATAAGCAACATTCTTGGCTGCACTCTAGGTTCTTTGCTAGTCAAGGCCCTGGCATGCAGAAAAGCAGTGTGATGTAACGGTAAAGAACTTGGAATCTAGAATTAAAGAGTGTCTGAATTCACACCTTTGCTTCTCTCCTCACCACTATGTTCTACTAAAACTCCTTTTTTATCTGTTTCCTCATCTGTACAATGGTTACCTTAACAGTAAATAGCACACAGGGTTGTGTGAAAATTAAGTCTTACTGTATATATGTTCTCTTAGAACATCAGTTATTGAATAAGCATTATATAAATGAGGTTATTACTGCTGTTTCTCTGCCTGGCATATTATTCTGTCTCTGTGAAAGACTAGCGCTTTCAAGTCTTAAGAAAAATGTTGCCTCAAAGAGACTTTCTCTACTTAGAATAAGCCATATTTCTTCACCCTGTTCATTTGTTTCCTTTATACATATTTGAATTATCCATTAGTATGTCTTGTATCTATTACTCCCTCCAGTTACTCAAGTTCAACATGGCACAGGCCACGATCGTGTTTATCACTATAGTCCCAACCTTGTTTATATAGTGGGTTTTCTTTCCTCCCTCAAAGCATGGAATAAATTTCCTTTATATAAAGTAGTCATAGGATACATGACTGAAATGATAGTCTTCATTTTAGCAAACTCAGGAGAAAAAAAATCTTTAGTGGAAAGCTGGCTAAGGACTTTTCAGGCATATAAATATAGGAGGTCCTAAGAATATTTTGTTAAGTGTATAGGTCCAGTCAATGAGTTGCTAAAACCTGTTACTTAAAAACAAAACCCTGTTACTTAAAATGGTTATTTCAACAATGATAACATTAGTACCAATAAAAATTCCAGGAAACAAACCCTTGATTTAGTTTTTCATTTTCTCTCTCCACTACAAATACCATTCTAAAATATCTGATATTCCCCCAATAACGACCTATATAACAGGGATTGCTGTTGTTGTTATGTACTGTTGAGTCAAACGTGACTCATGCAAACCCTGCCCTATGCTGTGCCATAGCAATCTTCATATACTTTTTCCACTGGTAGTAACTATGACCAATTGGTAATAACTTGAGGTCACGTGGCCTACTGGTAAGAAGCTGTGCTGTGATTCCCAAAGCATACAGTACGAATCCACCAGCAGCTCTAGGAGAGGATAGGCAATCTCCTCTCAGGATTAACTACCTCTGAAAACCTGCTGGAGGGTCAGCTATGGTTCTGACTTGATGGCACACAACAGCAACCATATAGGGGCAAATATATTTAGGCTTTAGATAATGTTAAGGAATTTTTTAACCAAGTTTTAACTCTTTTAGCTGTTACAAAATTTGTTGTTGTTGTGTGCTGTTTAGTGACCTGTGACTCCTAGTGACCCTATGTACAACAGCTCTGAATCCTACTCTATCCTGAGCCAACCTCATTGTCTCTGACACACTTACCGCCATTATCCCAGTCACTGAGTCAATCCATCTCATCAAAGGTATTCCCCTCCTGCGCTGTCCCTCCACCCTCCCAAGCATGATGTACATCTCCAAGGACTGGTCCCTCCTTGTAACATGCCCAAAGTACATCAGATGAAGCTTCAAAAGCCTTGCCTCCAAGGAACAGCCTGGTTTCACCCTCTGAAGGATGAACCTGTTTGTTCTCCTAGTAGTTCATGGTGTATTCAATACTCTTCTCCAGCACCATAACTCAAAGGCATCAATTCTTCTTCACTCATCCTTAGTCACTGTCTAGCTCTCTGACGCAAAGCAAGTCATTGTGAAGACCATGGCCTGTATCAGTTGCACCTTAGGATCTTAGAATGACATTGTGGCTCTGCAGCACTCTGGAGAGGTCTCTGACAGCAGATTTTCCCAATGCAATTAATCTTTTGATTTTCCTGGCTATTAGTACCAAGAGTGTTGATTGTGGAGACAAGCAAGCTGAAGCTATTAACCATCTCAATCTCTTTAACCATCTATTATGATGTTGCCTATTGACCCAGTGATGAGAATCTTTCTTTTCTTGATGTTGAGCTTCAATATATAGTGAAGGATGTTGTCCTTGACTTTCTGCAGCTAATGCCTCAGGTCCTCCTCAGTTTCAGCAAGCAGGATTGTATCATCTGTATAAAGCAGGTTGTTGATGAGTCTTCCTCCAATCCTGATGCCACATTCCTCCTTATAGAGTCCAGCCTCCCAGATGATCTGTTCTGCACATAGATTGAAAAAGTATGGAGATAAGATGCATCTGTAATGCACTCTTTTCCCAATTTTGAACCATGCAGTGTTTCCTTGCTCTCTTCTGACAAGTGCTCCAAGTACAGTTTTCACATAAGAACAGTCAAGTGTTCTGCGAATCTTACTCTTCCCGGAATTAGCTACAATTTGTTGTGATTCACACAGTCAAATGCCTTTGCACAGTCAATAAAACACAGACATTCCTCTGGTGCTCTATGCTTTTAGCCAAGATCTATCTAACATTGTCTATAATATCCCTAGTGTCATGGCCTCTTCTAAACTCAGCCTCTTCCAAACCTAGTCTGCACATCGAAGTTCTCTGGCAATGTGCTGTTCCTGTCATTTTTGGATAATTTTTTGCAGGATCTTGCTTGCATGTGATATTGATGGCACATAACAACAACAACAAAATCGAAAGTTTCCACACTGTCGGAAATGTTTGTAATAGGAACAAATATGATCTCTTCCATTCAGTTTGGCCAGGTTATTATCATCCAGATTTCTTAGCCTAACTTGATGAGTGTACCCAGGGCAGTGTCTGTCTGTTAAAGTATGTCACCCGGTATGCTGTCAGTTCTTGGGGCCTTGTTTTTTGCTAATTCCTTCAGAGCAGCTTAAACTTCTTCCTTAGTCAGCATTGCCTCTTGATTGTATGTTGTTTCATGAAATTTTTCTGTGTCAGCCAATTCTTTTTGGTACAGTGACTCTGTATAGTCCTTCCATCTTCTTTTAATGCTTCTTCCATCATTTAGTATTCTTTTCAAAACATCTTTATGTATTGCAACTCGATGCTTGAATTTGTTCTTCAGTTTCTTCAGCTTAACAAATACCAATCTAGTTCATCCCTTTTGATTTTCCAACTCCAGTCCTTTGAACATTTCAATACTTTAGTTTAACTTCCTGAACTGCCCTTTGAAATCTTCTGTTCAACTCCTTAACATCTTGATTTCTTCCCTTTCTTTGGCTTCTTGGAGCTCTAGTGCAATATTCAGAGTCTCTTCTGACATCCATTTTGGCCTTATCTTCTTCCTCCGTCTTTGTAATGACCTTTCACATTCTTCATGGATGATATTCTTGATATCTTTCCACAGCTCATCTGGTCTTTGCTCATTAGAAGTCAAGGCTGCAAACCTGTTCCTGATAGCTCATTCAGAGAGTGATCTGGTGGCCTAGTCTGTAGGAAGTTGTGCTAATAACTTAAAGGTCAGGTCTCTGGTATTTTGAATAAACCAATGGCTTTGAAGGAGAAATATGGGCAATCTCACACATAATTTACAGCACTGGAAAGAAAGAATTCATTAATGTAGAGAAGTAAATTTGAAAAAATTTATGAAAAATATAAAGTAACAAAAAGAGGCAGAAAATAAATACTGAGATACAACTACCACAGAAAGATGCTCTGTTTCAAGCATAAATTTTCAAGTATCCTATTGGACAAAGCCTATATAAATTGTTTAAACTTTTTATATAGAAAAGGGGAATGCATATAATAGATATATATAAAATAACCACATTTTTATATTAGTAAAAAATAATTATGCACCTCTTGAGAATATCCATAACTGAAGGAATCAAGTTTTTCTGAGAGTCAGAAATGAAAGTCTGTGAATTTGTTATTCCTACTTCAACAACACAGGTTCCAGGAGCTGAAAAGAAACTAGCCTCTTCTTCATTTTCTTCTGTTATCAATCTGGTTTCCCCACCTCCAAAATCAATTGCTGGACTTAATTTTTTATGCTAAAAATGGAAAAAAGGGGGAGGGGAGAAAGTAATTTAAACAGCTGTATAACTTTACAAATTTTGATTTTAGAATTAATTTTAACAGTAGTAGAAGCGACAGAACATCAGCTTTCCTCCTTGAACAGGCTATGACACTAAGAAAACCATTAGCTCACCAGTTACCTCTGTAAGGTTCATCTAATCATTACATTCTCTGCTTTTTCTTAACATACTTATACAGTATCGGAACTATGGGCTTTCTTACATATTTTTTTACATTCAAAATAAACTACTGCTACCCCATTTTAAGTACACAGAAGAAACTAAACAAATATTACTAAATGAATAAGTTAAGACCTACCACAGAAACCATTAGAATAAAATATTGGTCAATACTTGGACCTGTAAACACATTTCTGATGCCTTGAAGCCATCCAGGTAGCCCTGATGCTGGGACTGAGGAATGGTCCGGGCCCAACTGGTATCCATCCCCATCGGAAGGTGGTGGTGTTGTTGTTGTTATGTGCCGTCGAGTCGTTTCCGACTCATAGCGACCCTATGCACAACAGCCCTAAACCCTGCTCTATCCTGCGCCAACCGCACCGCC